CGGCAGAGTCCAACCACCCGCTGAGCAAAAACGTCAAAGGTCTCGCTTCACTGTATGAGCACGGGACGTGTTTACAGACACCAGGAACACATTAACTCCACCAACATTACAATGGTTTTGGATTATAGTGGAACTGACGCCACATCTGATTGTGACCAGATCAACAGCTTTTTTCCATTCAGTGGAAAGAAACATAAAACATGCAATAAATTTGCATTTCATCAGAATATGGACAGTTTTCACAGGAAGTATAAAGCTGGTTCCAAAACCCCTTGGAGTTTAGAGATAAACCGATCTCAGCGGCAATTAATGTAAATAACAAACAAATTTGATTCTTGTGAAGATGCTCTTGTGATTGATGTTGGCTAATCAATGGCCTGCAGCCTGCTGATGTCAAATATCCAGCTCCACTCGCCTCGGTCAAGTAGAACCGATCTGGAAGTGTGTGGGACCACCCAATGGAAAGACTCTGAAGTCTCAGCTGCATCAAGTCGAGCTCATGGAACATGACCATCAGTGTGCATGTACCAACTTTGATAGACTTGTTGCAATCCTTACAGCTCATTAAAACAATTCATACTAAGAATAAAAAACATCACACAAACTGGGTGGTGTGGTGTACCCAGTCCAGTCCAATCAGGAACATTCAGGCCTGTAAGACCTCATTTTGTAATAACAATGCATTATGATCAGGCTTCAAAATGTAATAAACTCGCACTAAAACCGCATTATGTAATAATTGCCGCAAAATGTAATAAAAGTCTTCAACGCATTATGTAATAACGTTATTTCATTTTGCGGCAATTATTACAAAATGTGGTGGTGTAATAATCTGGTGCATTATGTAAAAAACAATCAAAAAACAGTATTTCTGTTCATCCTAATCAATATACATAATAAATGTCATGTTGCAAATACTACATAATTAAATCTTTATAACTTTGGTCAATAAACACCGAACTTCTCATCTTTTATTTGCATTTTCAGATCTACTGTCCTGATCCTGTTAGGTTGAGGTGTAAAAACTAGGTATAAAACTCTGAGGGACAACGAGGTAGGGTTGGGCATAATCGTATCGTGTGCAATTAATCGTCAGAAAAACATTAATCGATTAATTTTTGGCACTTGACAATTAATATGATTAATGCCACCAGGCAGAGTCCACTCGCTGCTCCTCTCAGCTTCATATAAAACAAACATTGAAAAAAAGTTCTGTAACTTATTTATCTATCAAAACAATTTAAAATTTGATGTACAGCCTGAAGTCTGTAATTTTGACACAATTTGGAACAGATTTTTATGAAGAGCAAATCTTTCCCACTAAATTGGTCATGTGACTATGAAATAAGGGTGTCCAGGGACTCTAATCGTCAAATTAATCGTTATCGGCTAAATACCACGATTAATCGTGATTTATTTTTTTGCCAACATTGCCCAACCCTACAACGAGGACAACAAAACAGTAGGAGTAATCCATGTAATGATCCAGCGAGGAATGAACTGAAGAGAAGGGTATTTATACTGACAGAGGAATGAGGAAATGAGGAACACCTGGGAGCAGGACTGATTGGAGATGACAACAGGTGAGGGTGATTAAACAGCAGGAACCAGATTGAGGGGAATGTGTGATAACAATGAGGGAACACAAGAGGGAGATAACACAGACTGACAAAACACACATCCTCACAGATCCCTGTTACAGAAATTATTCCACTTTTTAGACAACTCCCAAAATACATCTAAAAGTTAGCTGTACATACATGTCAACCCCTTCAGACGTTTACTTGTATAATGAGCCTTAAAAATACGTAATTTTCGTAAAAAAAAAACTGTATTAATCACACGCGGGGGGTGCAGGTGGACCATCAGCCGCAGAGGGGAGGGGGGCGCGGTGCAGGTGGACTGTCGGCTTCTGTATCAGAAGGAAATGAGGGTTGAAGAATTTGTTTCTAGCAATAGAGTGGGTTGGAAGTGGATATTTGATGTTAATGATTGTTTTTTAATGTCCTACAGGCTCTGACATGTTGAATAAATTAGAAACTATGTTTATGAAAGATTCCATTAAACATGAAAAAATCCGTGAGCTTGTGCTATACATCCATATACACAAGAATTTGACTGAAACTCCAAATAAAAGATGAGAAGTTCAGTGTTTATTGACCAAAGTTATAAAGATTTAATTATGTAGTATTTGAAACATGACCGTTATTATAAGTATATTGATTAGGATGAACAGAAATACTGTTTTTTTATTGTTTATTACAGAATGCACCAAATTATTACAACACCACATTTTGTAATATTGCCGCAAACTGTAATAACGTTATTACATAATGCGTTGAAGACTTTTATTACATTTTGTGTCTATTATTACATAATGCGGATTTAGTGCAAATTTATTACATTTTGAAGCCTGATTTTATGACATTATAATGTGTTATTACAAAATGAGGTCTTACAAAGCCCATAGGGGAAACTGGACAACTCCTCCACAGACACATAATCCAGCCTCATCTCAAAGATAGGACACACTCGTTGAGAACGGTTATTTCAAAGAACCTGAACATAAACGTATTTTTAAAAACAACAGACGGGGTGAGCTCAGGTTTCACATTTATAATACAATGACTTGAGTTTTACTCACAGGTGGCTTTTCATCCATCCACAGCTGAAAGCATGTGATCACAACACTCCACATGTTGGTCAAGTTAAAGGAAGAGAGGTGGATCAGTGACCTCTGTGACCTTTTCCAACCTGAAACTCCCAACTAAAGAGCATCCTTAAGAAACAAAGCTTCTGGTCAAACACCTTGTTTGTTTTTACAGCTGATTTGTCTTTAAAGCTGTCTTATTTCTGAATACAATGGTTCAAAACCTAGGTTAGCTTTTCTTCTTGATCAGTTTAAAGCAATGATGAAGACTGGTTGAACTCCAGAGAAAACCCTCTAAATAAATGTGATTGTCTTATATATTAAGCAAATCAATTTAAGGGTTAATTGACAAATTCATATTTTTTTTCCCCAAGCCAAAGACAAATTTATATGTTTTGCTATTTTGAACGTGATGATAATTAAGAACCAGCTTCTCTTGGACTCTGGAGCTGGACCGCGGTGTGCTTGAGTGTGTGTGTCCGCCCTGAGGAGGCGCTGAAGCGGCGTGGCGGGACTGCAGAAGCCCCCTCCCCCTCCAAAAAATAAAAAAATAAAAAATAAAAAAATAAGTAAAAAAAAAAAAAAAACAGACTTCCAAAGGCACCACGCTTTCACTAAGCTGTGCATCACATGTCTGCAACTTAAACTAAAGAGAGCCGGAGAGAACTCACCTTTGAGACGGTCATGTGTCGCAGCGCGCGGCCGAGGCAGGTGGAGGTTTGAATCCGGGAGGAGGAGGGCTCTCCGCGGCCGCGAAGCTGCTGCTGCTGCCGCTGCTGGAGGCGGAGGCTCCGGTTCTGGGATTTATGGAAGGACTTGTTATATCACCAGCTGCATGCCTGGAACAAAGTGTCACCGTGAGGCAGTGTCCCAGACAGAGTTAAAACAAAATCAAACCTAAATAAATAAATAAGACAGGACGATTCCGAACGACCAATGGAGGAGTGGATGAGAAGGATGCGAACAGATGCGACAGGAGGAGGACGAAGAGGAGGGAGGGGCGAGGCAATCAGGTGAACCACCCTGCTGCCCTTGGGTCAAAATGACCTTTTTGACCCTAGGGCAGCAGAAGTGTTAAAGTTTGACTATAAACAGGACCCATCTGTCTGAGGTAGTCCAGCACACTGAACAGCATCCATCAGCGCTGTTAAATAAGATGAACCGTTAAGTTTGAATCATTAAATCCATGAAGCTCACAGATATCAGCTTAGATTCCTGTTTTGCATATTCTGGGAAAAGTTGGGACTTTGAATACCTCATAATTTGCAGCTCATAAAATCATCAAGAATCTGGAGAAATCTCTGAGCTCAGAGAACAAGACACCTGAAAAATAGAGCTGAAATTAAAGAACAAAATACTCAGGAGAACCCAGAAAAACTCGTTCATGCATATATTTTTAATTAACGGAATATAAACTGGTCTTTCTAAAAATATATAAAATAAAATAAAAACCCAAGCAAGTCGATCACATCAGTCCAGTTTGGAGGTCTTTGGACTTCAAAATTGTGTTGCAGGTTTGCAAGTCTGGGTCCAAAATACACTTTTGATTTTTCTGCTGCACTATGAACCATCAATACTTGAGGCCATTTCGCTCAAATACAATTTATAATCCTAGAGTCAGAACAAAACTAAGAAAACTGAAGAACTTTGGCTGTTTTTCTGACCAGTTTTGACCATTTTCAGAGAAATGTTTTGATCCCACTGATGTGTTAAGTTTCTTCATGGAAGTTCACGATTGAATGACATTTTACACCAAGTCTACATGAGTTTTTTTTTTTTATCTCTATAATATATTGCTTTGTTCCTCATTTTAAAATGTGTCTTTCTCAATCGTATTTAATCTGATTAAATGCCATATTTCCTCTGTTGGAGATCATTTTTGTGTAAACTTGTTTTCTGTTCATCTGCAAATAACTCATGTTTTTATGAAGTTTTCTGTGTTCATGTTGGCAAAAATGAAGGACCTGCACTTAAACACAAAAGGTGGCATTTGAATCTCACAGATCTTTGAATGTGGTGTGCATCCACAATGTAGCTGATTGTGTAAAGTCATTTTTCTGAATATCACTAAACTTCTTCCACTTTAACTTTGTAACTAAATTCACCTTTAAACAAAATGTCAACATGATGATCTAATGTAGCTACAGCAAAATGAACAATAACAGTGACAGAAACAGTCTCTACTAGCAACAATAAATTACCACTGTTGTTTTAAATGTACATACTATGAACACCACCTTCATCTAAGGTCTCTGGTGCCCTCTAGTGGCAAAATACAGTCATTACACGAGCATTAATAGAACATCCTTTCACAAGACCCACAGTGATTTTTTAAAAAAAAAACTAAGACTTGTGGATTTAGTAAAATTTAATTTATCTACAAATTTTCCTCCACATGGCATACAGATAGATTCTTTACTCATTTCAAGTTGGCTCTTAAATTGATAAGTTATATCATACAGAAGCTGAATGCCAGTCCAGGACCAAAAAGTTGCAAAAATACATCTTTTCGTGTTTTCCTGTCAGTTTTTTTTTTTTTTTTTTTGCAGCATATTGCAGAGCAGTCTGGTTGAGCCGTCAAAGCGAAACAAAACAGAGTGTTAAATACTGTAGATGTCGCTAAACATGAAGGCAGACAAATTCAGGGTGCAGAAACGGTGACCGACACGTTGCAGATGGGCCTACAGGTGCCATCAGCAGTGCAGGGAAAGGGCTTAAAGAGCTCAACAGGACAACGATCCGTTTAGAAATGCTTTTTAAATCTCCTGATTTTTTTTTTCCAGATAAATTGTGCGTAAAAAAAATGTACAGGGTCTTCTGTCTGATTAGAAACAGCATAACAGAACATTGCAATAAACAGGAAACTGGTCAAACTGATGAAAAACATGGAGATGAATGCACTGACAAGTTCACCGAAAAAATGAAATATCTGCGTGAGATGTGACAAAAAAAATAAAAAATAAAAATAAAAATTAACACAGCATGGCAGCAGGGAGGAGAAACTGTTTCTATATATTAGTTCTCTTCTTCAGTTTCTCAGGTGAGTCTTTTCTAGCCTCCTGGGAGACAAACTGACATCAGTTCTTCTCTTTAGTGTTTCTAGTCCTCGTCTTCATCGTCCTCCTCAGACGTCTGGTCCCTGGCATCAATGTCGTCTTCATCTTCCACCTGTAAGGCAGGAGCGACGGTCTGTCATCAGTCAGAGGTTTATTCTGAACAATCAATTTCATCAACAAGCCTTTTATTGTCTCACTGTTAGAAAAAATAAAAAACGCATCTTTTATCTGAGACAAAACCTACTGGATACAGTAAATGCTCTAAAATCTACGGCGGCACAGAAAAGAAGGAGCACGTGTCTGAATATTCCTGAAGAATACAGGTTTTGATACAAAGTGTTTGAAACATTTTGGTGAAAGAGTTATTTTTTTTCCTACCATCTCTCCCAGGTCTTTAAGTTTCTGTTTGAGGGCGGTGATTTTCTGGTCCTGGTCTGCCAGCAGCATCAGCAAGTCATCCTGCTCCTTCTTGGACTCCTGCAGCTCACTTTGAAGTTTTGTCTTCTCCGTCTGCAGGATGGCCACTGAGCTGGTGGCCGACGCCAGCTGCTGCTCCAGCTCTGCCCGGCTTTCCTGCCCCACACAATAACAGAAAGCAGGTGTTGGTTTGTGACGAGAATTGCTCAACAGTACATCAATAAAAACTTTTTAGAAGTTAACAAGGTGCCACTTATGGAGCTCTCTGTGCATTGRTGCCCAAATCAAATTCTGGAAGTGGTCATTCAACTAGATCTGTTACAAAAGGACAACTGATATTACCAACTTTTAAAAACTGTTACGGCCAGAGGTCTTTCTTCTATGTTTATACTAAAGCATGGAATGACATTCCTCAAAACATAAAGTCCATTTCAAAACTACAGCCCTTTAAGAAAAATCTTGTCTGCCATCTGCTGGACACTTTTTGTTGTGCTCATATTTAGACGTCCTATTTTGCAAATGCTGCCTTCCTAAAATTTGGTATGCTTGTTTGTCTTTGTGTCTATGGTGTATAATGATGTGATTGTGATGCTGTATTTCTGAGTGTTTTATGTGCTGCAGAACAGGAACCTGCTGTAAAACAGCAATTATGCTGAGTCAGGCTTGATTTTTAGTAATCTTTTCCTGTTGAATCAATAAATCAAATCAAATCAACAGAGTGCAGTTGAAGAGACTTAAACAGCAGATTTACTATTGAAAGGGGGAAAAAAACCAACGAAGATGAATAGAAACTATGTGCTAAACTGAGTTAATTCATTAAGTTTTGAAGGAGGGAGACATCCAAGCATTTAACGCATTGTGCTCCACGTTAACTTAGCTGAGATCTGATTATGTCGTTTTTGGCTCAGCAACACTCCGTTTCTGAAAAAGCTCACGTCTGTGTGAGAAGTGGTCGGTTTTACCAGTGTTGTTTAACCCCCAATTTACACTAGATGCGTCTCCGCTCTGCTGCGGTCCGACCTCTGTAGCAAATACACAACCATTTTTATCAATGAGTGTTTACACGTGCTCCGCTTGGCGGCGGTGAGCGGACGGCGATCCACCAAAATTAGATCTGATACTATTTTTGCCGGACGCCAGAGCTGCTCTGGAGTCAATCTACAAAAATCGCATTGCACCAACAGGAAAAGGAACAAGCACAACATCTGTATTTTCAAAATAAGACACCATAGAGCGGAGTAATTTTGTCAAAATCCCAGCTCTATTTATCAATATATGGATTTATTTCTACGCAAATGCTGTCAGGATGTATCGTTCTGTTTGGGAAGCAGATGACAACATGTAGATGAAGCATATGTGTACACACACGATACACATGGATTTTATTTTGAAATCAGAAGTTTCAAAAAGACGACAGTGATAAAGTTTCAATCATAGATATCAAAAGCTTTAATATCTATGTTTTCGGTTGTGTTTGGAGTTTGTCTTTCACAGAATTAATTCTTTTTTGCTCTGACTTCCACATTTATCACTGGATTTGTCGCGCAATCTCCTTCCTGCACAAGCTACCTCTGTGCGTTGTACCGGAGCGGAGCTGAGCGGAGCGGTATCTAGTGTAAATCCGGGGTAAAAGACCAGCAGCAGCTTAAAGTCAGACTGGACCATGTGGTCATTTCCCCTAGATATTTTAGCTCACCTTGAGCTTCTCTGTTTCAGACGTCTGAGCTATGAGTCTGCTCTCCAGATCTGCTTTGGTGGCATCGGACGTGCCGTCACTAGTGGGCGCCGTGTCCGAGGACTAAAAAAATAAAATCAAACAAAAATAAAAAAATCATTTAAAAGTAAATTATGAAGAATGCTGCATTTTTTTAATGCCAGACTGATGTCTTAGTTGAAGATTTTTACCACAGCTTCAGCTTTTCTTAGCAGTTCCTGTCTCTCCACCTTCAACTGGTTGATTTCTGCCAACTGGGACTGAATCTGACTCTTTAAAGCATCCAGTTCCTGCAACAAATTTACACACAATACAACAAATATCTTCTGGTAAAACTTTTGAATTATTTTTTTAAGCTACTAAAATAAACATCAGACCCAAAACACGATTTGTCCTGATATCTGTTCTTTGTGTCTATGGTTCATTTTAGGTTAAATCAATATGAGCAGGGAATAAAGCACTAAATAAAGATAAAGGTAAAACCTCTCACCTGGAGCAGCTCTGTGTTGTCTGATCCTCCTGCTGGACTTTCTGTCTGCGCTGAAGATTTCTAAATTTACACACAACAAATTGACAAAATCAGTGCTTGTAGTCTAAGATTAGGTTTGTTGTTTTAAAACAGTGGGTCCTAAATTCTAACTTCTGACCCATTAAATGTAACAGAGGCAAAGACTTAGACTGTCACTGGCTGAACTAATAAACCAATTAAAGAAAAAGCATAGAGACTAAACCACCAGCCTCACAAACCATTCTATTTGTATCACTATCATTGCAGTTTTATTAACTTAGTAGCAATTTTGGAAAATAAAAACATGTTATAAGCAAGAGGCTTTAAATTTAATTTGAAATGCAGAGATTACCCAGAAGCTCCAATTAATAGCCACATCTGGAGCATTCTCTCATTTCTATTCATTCTTTTCTAGGTGGGATCTAAAAACTATGTGTATGTAAATTATTAATTACAATTTAATATGAGCTGAAGGGTAAATACAACTTTAGAGAAAAAAAAAAAAGTCCACCATAATCAGGCCCTCTCTGTCAGTACAGCACATCTGGATCTAAAACACCAGGAGGGAAAAAACAGAAATAAACACTGATTTCTACCCACCAGGCTGTCGATCAGTGCGTCCTTGTCACCGAGTTGTGTCTGAAGAAGAGCGTGCTGCTTGCGGAGCTCCTCCAGCTCCTCTCTGAGCTGAGACAGCTCCTCTGTCTGCAGCCCGTTCACCTGAGAGCTTTCTCCCTGGCTACTGGACAGACTCTGGTTCTCCTTCCCTGAACACATTCACAGACCATCCACATGAACAAGAACTGTTAAAAGCTAAAAACAGCTGATGTCTCACCAGTGGAAAACAGGAACAAGGCGCAAAAAACATTAGAGGGATCCATGATTAGCTGTAACATTAAAATTTATTTAATAAACAAATATTTTAACTGTAAAATAAATTCTGTAAAAAATACTGTAGGATGCTCAGTTTTTATCATTTTTAAACTAAAAGTTCATATATACAGTAGATATATTACATGGACGGGACCATTTTATTTACATGCAAAGCATTCTGGGTAAATGATGACGTGGATAGGTCCTCGGTGCGAGGCTGCTAGTGAGCTATATCCACCCTGAAGGTTAATCTCAGACAATATCTGATGATCGACTCTTTTAAATGAAACCAGAGAGTGTTGACAGAGAGAAGGTAGAAATGACTCAGCCTGGAACTGAAAATATGGATGGAGGACAACAGAGCTGCTTCATGAAAGAAGAACTTCAGCTTATCCTGTTAGCTTTAGCATTAGCCCCGATGCTATCATCATATACAGTATGTATTAGCTCAGTGCTACACATTCTCCATCTTCCTCCATCCACATGTCAGAAGAGGGGAATGCAAAAATGACTCAGCCTGCAACTGAAAATATAGATGGAGGACCTCAGTTTAGCTTGTTTGTCGCACTAGCGCTGAGCTAATACATATAAGGCAATATAGCGTCAGCGCTAGCGCAAAGACTAACAGGCTAAGCTGAGGTTCTTCTTCCATGAAGCAGCTCTGTTGTCCTCCATCCATATTTTCAGATACAGGCTGAGTCATTTCTACCTTCTCCTCTCTGTCAACGCTCTCTGGTTTCATTTAAGAGTCGATCATCAGATATTGTCCAAGATTAACCTTCAAGGTGGATATAGCTCGCTCACACCGAGGACCTATCCACATCATTTACCCAGAATGCTTTGTGTGTAAATAAAATGGCTCCATCTGTGTTAAAATATATTTTTAAAAATGATAAAAACTAAACAGCCTACAGTATTTTTACAGCCTTTATTTTACAGTTAAAATATATGTTTATCAAATAAAGTCTAATGTTACAACCAATCAGGGATCCCTTTAAAAAGCTGATAAAAGATTTCCTTAATGTACCTGGGGGACAGGACCCACACCTGTTGGCAGGTACTGTAGCAGAGAACCCACCTAATTTTAGTTTCAGGATGTTGTACTGGTCTTTGTGCTGCTGGATCTGAGAGAGCTGCTGGGTGATGGTAGCTTGCATCTGTTCGTTCTGAGTGTTCATAGTGGTCATCTGCTCTTTCAGCTCCTGGATCTGAGCATCCTGACGACCACATCATCAGAAAAAGACTCAACACATCAGCTGTCATCACTGTTATTAACACTGAGGAACTTTTTTACGTCTATGAGGATGAGGTACCTGTTCTCTGATCAGCTCTTTGTACTGAGTTATAATGTTGTCATGTTGCTCTAATGTTTTCTTCACCTCCTCTTCCTTCTTCTCCTCCTCACTGGACTTGTGAACTGCTTTGGTTATCACACCTGTGCACAACAGATGGGAGGCCGTCCTTTTTAAAACACTGGCAAACTTTTCAAACCACCTGTGAACACGAGGGCAAGGCATGGACTGACCCTCCAGTTCTTTAACTAGTTTGGTGAACTCGTGGTCGAAAAGCATCTGCTCTGGAGATGGGAAGACGGGCTGCGGTTTCAGGGCTGCCCGTGAATACAGCTCGTGTTTGGTGATGAAGCCCAGCTTTTCTACAAAGTTTTCCTTTCCGATGCGTTTCTCGATGAGCTGCTTTAGTTTCTCCCTGAAGAGAGAGAGAGAGACAAAGAGAAAAAAAGAAGAAATGGAGCAGATTCATTATTTTAACCCTCCTGTTATGTTTGTTTCTTAGGAACAGCAATAATGTTCCTGGGTCAATTTGACCTGGGGGATGTTTAATCATGTTATAGTATCAAAGACCAAATAAATCCCTCAAAACATTTTTATATATGATTATTAACTCCATTACTAACAATTTCAATCAATATTTATGAATAGATTTTTTTTTATTTCAGATAAAGGATCAATGAGGACAATTCACTCGTTTTCCTAAAAAAGTGTTACATTTTTTTATGTCCAATACAAAAACATACACACAAAAAAGCAACAATTATTCATTAAATTGATTTTTTTTTTTGAGGAGTGATGTTTATAATTGAAGTTGAGACACCTATTCTGTTCTGGGTCAAATTGACCTGCTAAGAAAAACCAAGACTAATGAGTCATGAAGATTTAAATTGAAAATAAACTTTATTATCTAAATGGGCAGCAACCTCTGACTACCACAAACCTTCATCCACTGTGACATTAGGGCCTAAAGAAGTTGCTCAACCTACTTGTGCCACATTGTCCCAATATCTGCCAGCATGTGTGTGTGTGTGTGTGTGTGTGTGGTGTTTGAGGTGAAATGTCTCACAATTGCAAAGAAACAAATAGTATTGGGCACTTTTGACCCTTTTTACCTTTCATTTTGACTGGCCGAACTGACCCGAACACCATCTATGTAATATGTAGACACGGGGGGGATGCAAAAATGTAAAATGAACTATTTTCATTTTACATGTAATTTATACCTATTAAAACAAATATAAAAAGTTTCATGCAGAAAAAAATACTTTAAACTATTTTTTTTAATTTTAAACTTTAAAAACGGGTCAATTTGACCTGCAACATAACAGAAGGGTTAAGAAAAATGTAAATCTGTCATTAGCAACACAGAACAGATACAGTGGCACCTACTTGGTGTAGTTTTCAAGTGAGTTGTCATTATAAAAGATGCAGATACCGAGCAGCAGGGCACAAAGGCCCTGCACAAGCCGCTCGTCTTCCCCCAGGTTCTCTGAGATCTGAGCAGTCAGCTACAGGAGTCACCGAGTCAAGATTAGGTTTAACTCAGAGTGAAACAAACCAAGCACCCTGTTTGTGTTCAGTGCACGAGTGAAAACAAAAAATCTATCTGAAAGTGAAAGTGGAATAAAAATGCAGGTAAAAACAGCTTCAAGGATACAAAGGGAACATTGTCCTGATTGTGGAGGAAGTGAGTGACGGCAATCGGGCAGTTGCTGATCCAAGTGCACAGCAGCATGAGGAGGCCCACTCTGGTCTGGACTTTACTGCCCTGCAGAAAAACACCAACAGGAACAAATGCTCAGATGTGCTCCTGAAGAGTTACGGTCAAATTATAAAGCATTAAGCCTTTGAAAGAAGAGTGAAACTGGATAATGGCTGTGTAAAGTTTAGTCTGGCAGAAACAGATCTGCCAAATCCTGGTCCTCAGGAGCTGCCATCCTGCATGTTTTACTTGCTTACCTGCTCTAACACACCTGAATCAGTGATTGAATTACCTCTTCAAGTTCTTCAGAAAACTTTTCATCACCCATTCATTCAAACCAGCTGTGCTTGAACAGAGAAACCTCAAAAACATGCAGGATAGAGGTCCTCAAGGACCAGGACTGGACATCACTGGGCTAAAATGTGACCATAAATTAAGTCAGAATTTATCTTTAAAATATCTGAATTAAACAATAAATCAATAATAATAATAACAATAATAACAATAACAATAATAATAATAATAATAACTTTAAATTACAGAGTCAAAATTAGCTCTAAATTAAGATTTTTCTCTCTTTGCTTAACTAAACATTTTTATGAGACACTGCAATAATTCTGACAATTTGGTTATCTTAAAATGTTGGAAATAAAAACATTCAGATTAAATAAAAACAAGTAGATTTTTCTTATGACAAAGAAGAGTATTACTAGATTCATCCAATAATGCATCAAACAACATCAGCGATTAGTTATGACTATAATTAGTTGTTAACAAAACAGTAAGTGCAAAAACATTTGACATTTTTAGGAAGGGTTAGATTGTAAAAAGAAAAAAAAAAACACATGCAAGCACATAAAAATATTAGAGTCTGTGTCTCTTTTCCTTATTTAACAACTGAATGATCATTTTTGCAAATTAAATTACCAAAAAACAAAATAAAATAGACCCAGCAGTTATCTGCACATGCACATTAATGTGTCCCAAAACAACATGAAGAAACTGTTGTTTAATTGAATATAAAGAAAAATATTTCCATGAAAATAACTTTAGGAAAGATTTTTGCTTTTAAGACAAATTAAAATGTTTACAAGAATATTCTGCAGCTTTTTATGTTGATTTGTCTCAGTAAGCTGTAGGAAAAAAATATGAATGAAGCTGGAATGTCAAATAAAAAGGAAAAATAAAAGCATGTAAAGGCATTAAAGTCTGCAGCTTCAGGCTGAAGAATTAACACTTAATGCACAGCATGCGTTGGATAAAGCAACACGTTTTCCTGCAGTGATACGATGAAAGCTGAGCAAGTCTGAAGATCTGAGTGATGACTATGTGAAAGAGCAAAAAGAAACTTATGTTACGTCCTACAGCGACTTTTCAAAATCACCTTTTCAGCTTTTGTCTCCAAATGTAAAGCGAAAATGAGGAAGAAAACAAAGACAGGAAATGACCACGTGTCAAATGAGCAAACAGTTGTTTGTTTATAAACAGCTGCTTAAAAAACTCATAAAAATATATATAAATTCAAAAATTACTTCAACTTTTAAAAACATTAAACAACAAAAGAAACGGCTTCAAAACAAAAACAAAAAAATGACTTGAAATTATCAAATAAAAGCAATTGGTAAAGCAGACATTTCAGGAGAAACTGGCCTGCTCACCAGTAACAGCACTGTGCAAAAGTCTTGAGTCGTTCCCTATTTCTGGCTCTTTTAATCAGTGTTACAGACTTCACCACTTTTCTTTGTGAAAATTTTAACAAAGCATCAACACTCAGAGGTTTAATGTCCAAAAACACCCCAGGGTTTTACAGCTTAAAAAGAAACAGAGCCTCATTATTATAAAACAGCTCAAAACAAGTTATAGTAAACCAGATGTCCGTGTACAGCAGGGATGTGTAGGAGGAACTTTAATATCATTCAACCTGCTATGGTTTGTAGGAATTTATTTAATAACTAAGACAGAACAACAGTGAAGATCCCTCACTCAAAAAAGTAAAGACCCCAAAACAGCTGCAGCACACTTCCTGAACTAACAGTTTAGCAGGCTTGCAGCACAACAACCACTAAGTTTTAGGCAATAGCAGGTGTTATATTAGCAAAGACAACAGTTAAAAACAGCGTGACGCCCCTGTCCTCTGCCCCTCATGTTAAATTGTTAATTTCACAATCCTCGACTAACAAATGCAGTCAGAGGAGACAGAACGTTCTCAGGTGTGAGGAGTGTACTTATGTCAAGGTTTTTTACTGGCTTTGCCCCCAACAAGCTTCAGTGAATTAGGCCCAGGCAAACATGCACAGACGTTTAGTAAATAAACATTATATACTACGACCTTTGTGAGGACCGGTTCTGAAGGACAATGCTAGGAGAAACACTGTATGTGATAAACTAGGTCTGAGCCTTTAGTTAGGGACAAAGCAGGACACTAAAAAGTTAAAAGAAAGCAAGATCCACCAACATGTGGGACACAGAGACCCCTACTATTAATGCCACGCCAAAATAACCAGAACTGCCACCCAAAGACATAAAATGCACATATACACACACACTACAAACGCACTTTACTTACCCGCCGGACGATCTTATCACCCTGCAAAACCGTATCAGTATTAAACCTTTGCAAGTCTGCCAAAAGTAGTCCTGTTTTTACACAAACCTATTCCACCAAGACACTCGTAACCTGTCGGTACGTTTACAAGTGAAGGGCATGTCCTACCTGTGAGAGGATGTTGGTGCACTGCTGCAGCAGAGAGACGGGGGGCTTGCCCAGACTGGTGGCAAGTTGAACCCTCAGCAGCTGCTCCTTCTGAGTGAGGTTGTCCTGCAGGGCGTGAGCCAGGGCCACAGCGGCACACCAGTTGGAGAGAGAGTCTGCTGAGAACAGGCCTCCACACAGCAGCTGACCTGCTGAGATGGAATTAGCTGAAGGGGGGAGGAAAAAAAAAGGAAAGCAAAAACTGTTAAGAGAGAAAATCCATGACAGTCAAAAATGTAACACGAACTATTCTCACCGTCAATCGTGGAGGGTAGCAGCGTAGCCACTATCTCCCCCTGGCCTTTCTGGTTTTTGTAAAGGAAACATTGGAAGCAGTAAAGGACCGCACAGCGAAGCACAAATGGTTGCCTCTCATTCACCATGGACATAAGCAGCACCACAATAGCTGGTCTGTGGACAATAAAGAGTAAAAACTCACCAAGTTCATCACTTATAAAAAGGGATCCATGATTAGTTGTAACATTAGACTTTATTTAATAAACACATATTTTAACCGTAAAATAAAGACTGTAAAAATACTGTAGGATGTTTAGTTTTTATAATTTTTAAACTAAAAGTTTAAAAATATATTTTAGCACGGACAGGGCCATTTTATTTACACGCAAAGCATTCTGGGTAAATGATGACGTGCATAGGTCCTCGGTGCGAGGCTGCTAGTGAGCTATATCCACCCTGAAGGGGCGGACATCGGGGGGGGGCTTAGGTCAGATAACACATAAAGGGGAGGTAAAATGGGGCAGGTTCAGAGCAGTAGGTGACGTTGGGGGGGGTCTGTGCTAGGCCCAACCCTGGGCCCATCCAGAGTCACAAGATGTTATTGTCTCTACTCAATTCGCTAGAGTTCAGAGTTTTCCTCCTCCTCTGCCAATTCAGTTCCAAGGCCAGGTCCAACACGGGTGATGGGGGTGGGAGTGAATCCAGTTAGTAGACATTCCATCCTGGAGAGGTTGAGATAAGCACTGCCCTCAAGGCTGTGCCGCTGGGAGCCAGATAGATAAACCAATTATTTTGGAACAAAGCAGCCTTGAAATTCCTGCTGCTTTTGAAGCGTTAACTGCAACTCTGAGGTGGCAAAAAAATCCAATCTGCCGAATTTGGGGTCATTCCTCACTTCTCACCGTCTGAAGCTCACCCAGATGTGGGGCTGGGCGGCACAACCTCAAATGCATATCACGGTATAAATAGAACCCCTTCACGGTAACGGTATATATTGCGGTAGAAAATTATCATAAAAAGATAATTTAAATTTTAGAGCATTTTTTTGCAGAAAACTGTAATCTTAATTAAACCCAACATTTTTGCTTTAATATCTGCCTGCCAAACAATGAGCTTCTGCCTGCTGAACTTACCAGCTGCTGCGTGCTCATCAGAGCAGAAGCCGACTTTATATTAGCAAGATGGACTTACGACTGAACGAACGTCCATGTCTTTTTTTTAAATAATCTCTGTGGGTAACAATACATAAAAAATGCTTTTTCTCTCCGACAATTGGGTGTGAAAAACTACAGTTTTTAAAGCTTCGCTCTGAGCGATGTCCAGCGAGAGGAGAGGAGAGGAAATTATCCTGTGACACGACGTAACTTTTCTACAGCGGGAGGAGGAGGGGATGATCCTGTAACACAACGTAACTTTTCTACAGCGGGAGGAGGAGCCCTACCCAAATGTAGTCCATACAAGGTGAAGGGTTGCTCCTGAGCTGCGATCCTCATCAGAATCACATCTGAATTTTTTCCCCAGCTGAGTCTGTGTGCTACCAACCTGGCAGAATCCTTCAAGTGCGCCCGACAGCTCTTCAAAGGCCCGATCCACTGTCAGGGTTGCTTCATTTTTCGATAAATCTGAAACCCTCCTCTGCCGATCAGCAGGAATCCAGTTATCATAATCCAAATAAATAAAGATCTTCCATGTCTTCGATGGAAAGCGGTGCTGGCATATCAGATTCCAGCCCCAGGAATCAGACAAGTCCAGCAGCAACCGTTCCACCCAGACAGCCACGTTCCCCTCGTTCAAAAAAATAATAATTGTGTCAATTTCATTCAGAGACCAGATGACCAAATCCATAATTCCTTTAGTTTCGGATGGAAGGAGGAAATAAGCAAAAGTAGCTAAGCGGGGGGGGGGTCAGAGAGAGCGAAAAGCACGTCATGCTCCTCTGAAGGCCAAGCAGGAAAAATTACCAGTTACAGTCTGAGTCATTTCTACCTTCTCCTCTCTGTCAACGCTCTCTGGTTTCATTTAAAAGAGCCGATCGTTACATTTTGTCCAAGATCAACCTTTTTAAAATTTTTAAAATTTACAAAACTAAACATCCTACAGTATTTTTACAGTCTTTATTTTACAGTTAAAATAAATGTTTATCAAATAAAGTCTAATGTTACAACTAATCATGGATCCCTTTAACAGAAGGGTGAGCTAATGAACTGGATACATTACCTTGGTGGATTTGAAGGAGCGTTGACTGAAGCAAAGTAGTCCTGGTTGACCTGTGAGCCTCTGATAACTTCGGAAACAGTGTTTATGGTCTGAAAGGAAGCAACCAGATCAAGTGTAAAGAAACTGAGCAGGATTAGGACGCATTATGACTGGTTATTAACAATATTATTACCTCAGTGAGGATGTCAGCAGGCACTCCGGTGGCCATGAGGATGGTGCACAGCTGCTGCAACAGATCACACTGGAACATGCACTTCTGACAGTTGGCTGTGGCTCCAGGTGAGTTTACAGGTGACACCATCACTCGCACCAGCTGAGATTACAACAAATTTAAGAGGCTTGAATACTGTGCAATCAGATTAAATCAACCTTCAAATGCGGCGGTTGTGTTTTACCTGCAGCATGAGGTGAAGGTTAGTGACTTTCTGAGCTGACCAGCCGGAGTTATCGTCGCCGACCTCAAACCAAGGCTTCATTCTCTGGATGTAGGAGCCCTCTTTGAAGAAGTTCTGGTTGGAGCTGTTGTTCTTCAACAGGTTGAGCAGCAGCAGCAAACAGTCCTCCACCACAATGCCTGCACATCAGAGCCAAGAGAAATCAGAAGACAAAAATATACAGTATGTATCATTTTGAATAAGTTACAGGATTTAATAATAGTTTTTAAGTGTAAAGTGGCAGTTCTGTGGTCAGTTGTTGTTGGGTTTTTTTTTTTTACCTCCATCACTGCTGCCCTCTTCTGTGATGATGTCAAGGAGGCGCTCAAATGCGTTCTCAAACGCCACGATTTTCTGAATGGCTGCGTTGCCTTTGGTCAGCTGCTGAAGCAACAGCAAACCCTATGGGAAGCAAGAAACAGGACTGTCAGCCACTTGTACAAGCTTTTATTTGATACATAATCTCAGAGGATTTTACAGTTTTGTTGACTATAGAACAGGAAAAAAATATCCTTACATCGTTGCGAATGACTTCTCTAGAGTCTGCCAACAAGTCCATCAATCTGGAAACACCTATAAAGAGAAACGAAACATGACTCTTAGTAAAAGATGAATAAAAATAAATTGTTCTTTTGACAGACAAGAAAAAACAAGTCTAAACGACAAAAGAAGTGACTAGTTTGATAGAGATAAAGTTTGATTCACCCATTGGGCTGACGAGGATGATACCCTGCACCTGAACACCCTGGTTCTTCAGGAGGGCAGTCAGTAACTTCACTGCAGGCCAGCGGACATGGAAGTCGAACTCCTTCGAGATAACAAATAAACCACATCAATTTGTAAACACAGCTGTCATTCGACAACATTTAAAAAATGATGCTTTACAAATGAAGCAGGACCAGAACAGTACCTCCAACAGGGTGAGCAGTAGGGTTATGTGTTCAGGGTCCTGGATGAGCTTCTCTGTAAACTGGGCTCCGAGGTCATCTGCCTGCTTCTGAGCATTCTCATCTGAGAGGAAAACAAAAGCTGAAATAAGAAACGTCGTCTGTAACTCAAGTCATCGAGTGGGTGAAAAAACTGCCTGTTCACAGCTATCAGCTCAAGTTAAGGGACAAAAACTGAACGCTGATAACTTCTTAAAGTGTTTTGAAACTGTGCAAATAGGATCACCAAGTGAAAATTAGTGACTTTACAAGAAAACTGAGCAGGACGCATAAATGTGCACAAACTAAAGTCATCAAAAAGATAAAGGAAGAGCTGAACAGATAGATTATTACAAAGGGAACTGATAAATAATAAACCCAATTGGCTAAATTTGACTTTAAAAGCTGAAATTTTAAAAAGAGTCGTGAGATCATACAGATTATTTTTAAAATTATTGACAGCAAAAACACTTAAGAACTGAGCTCTAAAATCCCTACCAAAACTCAATTAGATACATAGAACCGGTGCAAAATTACTTTTAAATCTGGTCTTATACAAGTTTTAATGTAAGTTTATGAGTGGGAGGTAAAATCTACTGATAGATGCATCTAGAATGTGAAAGATTCTGAAAATATTTTTAAATCTTAAAAAAAAAAAGATTTTGTTGATGTTTATAATTGTCTCAATAATTACTGTTGAAGGAACATGCGAGGCAAGACTCAGACGGGTGGAAGTGCAGAGCTCAGACCGTCKTTGGCATGGGTGTCTAATCCTGGTCCTCAAGGGCCACCTTCATGCAAATGTTACTTGTTTCTCTGCTCCAACACATCAGATCTGAATGAATGTGTGATTAACAGGCTTCTGTAGAACCTGAAGAAATGAACATTGAATCAGGTGTGTTGAAGCGGGGAAACATGTCAAACATGCAGAATAGAGGCCCTCGAGGAGCAGGACTGGAATCCCCTGGTTTATGGCATGCACAGAACAGACAAGATGGCTGAGTAAGATATACAACTGGATGCAAATTAATTCTAAGTATAAATGCTTCTTTTTGGTAGTCACACAAAGAGGAAGGAGGGAGTTGTATTAAGATATTCAAAATTAACTGATGATCTCACAGAAGAGGAACTGAATCAAAAGTGTGAGGTGCCTAAAAACTTTTAAACCTAATGTTTGTGTTCATAATTACCAAGAAATCTAAAGATTTTTCAAACCCTAGCTCTGTTTTTGTTTCCAAACCATTTTAACATTTGTCTACTTTGTTTGTTTGTCTACAGTTTTAGTTTTGTCTTGCTGCTCAAAGAAAAATGTGTTTTCAAAAGGCAGCTTTTATTTTAATGAAAAAAAATCTTGTGATAAATTAACCTGTGGATGACCTCACCAACACCGCACAGCAAACAAACACCTTTAAAGACTGAGGTTATAATTAGAGAAGACTTTTGCAACTGAAGAGGCAGATATTTACCCCAGGAGGGGTTTGAAACCACACCTGTGCCAAAGCAAAAGCGAATACTGTACGGACAACTTTGTTTCTGTCACAATGAAGAATCCAAAGCTCTTATGACAAAATAATGAAGAAAATAAGTTGAGAAATAAAAATACAATTATTCACAAAACTGTCAAATTTCACAACAACATACAGACATATTAATATGTTGAAAGATACACCAAGGACATGAGAACAAAGCAGTTTCACAGAGAGTTGTGATATTAGTAAAGCTTTTGTGTTGTGACCCAGACAGACTCCTGTAGCATTTTATGGTGCAACAGATTTGAGTAAAGTTGGGTAATTTTTACTACATAATTGTCTTGATTTGTCAGAGCTGACCAGACACAAACACACAAAGCTTCAATGAGACAGAGAGCATGTGCACGGGGGGTATTATTACTGAGTGAGGAGGGGGCGCAGTGGAAAGGAAAGTTTCCCCTGAAAGCCTGAACTCCTTCAGCTGCTTTGAGTTTTATCATCAGCTGACGGATTGTTGTGAAAACATGCCACAAAATAAAACATAGCATGGAAATAAATGAGCTGTTTTACAAATGGGCTACTGCGTAAAGGGTAAAAATGAAACAAAAGGTGTTCTTCTGTAAAAGCCCAACAAATAACTGTGCAACTGGAGAGCTCTGTTGGTGGTTAAAAGGTTTGTCATCATGCACAGTCAAAGACTTTTTACCTTCTGATTCATCTGCAGAGTTAAAACATGAAAGAGAAAAGAGAGATGACAGTCTTTACATAAAGTCACATTAAAATAAGGCTGGGATGCAAATTGAATGTTGTTCAGATGAAATGATGACATTAACTTAATTACACCTGCATACTTCACACAATTACGGTGAATTTAGAAGAGATTCAAATAATGTGTCTCTCTACGCTATGATATAAATTTAACATGTTTGGCTGAAAAGTAACACCTTGTTCTTCTTCCTCATCATTGCAGATAATGTTGTAGAGTGTGTCCAAAGCATATCCAAGGATTTCTGAGTCAGACCTGTAGGATTTAGAAAGAAAATAAAGAAAAAAAGTCAAAATAATTATGTTTAACTGTTTACAGATGTATGAAAACAATAAAGATTAATAAAAATCTGTCAAGATTTTTTTATTATGTGTTGGATGTTCTTTATTAAAGGGGAATAAGTTCAATTTATTAATATAATTCAAATAAAGAAACTGATTTTGTATTAAACTTAAAACAACAACACTGAATCGGTACCACATACATGGAGAAAACATTTAAGGCTGGCAATGCATTAAAAATTATCAAACCTGTCTGTCTGCAAGATGTTAATCAAGTGGTCCATTGCTTGTGTGCCCACTTCCATGCGATATTTCTACAAAAGGGAAAATTTGTCATGAAACTGGTGAGGGTTTTTAAAACAGAATTTAAAATAAAGACTTTTTAGGCAGCCTAAACACAGATAGAAACATTTTATGAACTCTTTGGTGCTTTGTGATTCAGCACGATAAACCCTCAAAACTGTCCATGAGCAGAACAAAAAGAGGTTCAATTAAAATATTTAAAAAAAGGTTTTAAGTGATGTAAACAATGCACAGCTACAGTGGAAATTTACTAAAATATTAATAAGTTAAGCTTTGATAAAGTCCTAGAACCATTCCAACCCCTGTTTAGATGGGTGCAGTGTACCTACTGAACAAGTTACTGAGTATTTCATCCTCATACTTTACCTTAGAGAGGGACTTAAGAGCCCGAACAGCATCTCTGCGATCTTCTAAAAGTGTTGAAGAGGCAACCCGGTCACACAACTTCTGGATCTGTTAATAAAAGGTGGGGGGGAGAAATAATCATATTTTGGTTTTTCACACCCTAAACAGCAACTTGTCATTGTGTAAACATGTTGTCTTCACTATGAATATTACTCTAATAATTATTTATCTATTTTTGGCATTTTGAGTTATTTCATGAGTTTTAGTCTTTACTTGTTTTGTGATGTGAGAAATGTGTGGTTTTGGCAGCACAGTAGCTCAGCTGGTAAAGCTGCTTCTCAGCAAGAACTGCCAGATTGAATTCTGGGAGGAGTTAGCATATTCTTTATGTGCATGCATGGGTTTTCTCTAGGTACTCTAGTTTTCTCTTACAGACCAAAAATATGAATGTTAGGCTACCTGTAAATTGTCCCAAGGTGTGAGAGTGTGAATGGTTGTTTTGTTTTTTTCTATGTGGCCCTCTCATGGACTTGTACACTGCCATTCAAACTGACTGCTGGACATGGGTACCAGTGACCCTCTTGACAAAGAAAGGAAGAAGCTGATAAATAATATGGATGGATCAAATTATCTATCCATATCCATCTACTCATACTGTATCTAATTTAGGACAAAGTAAACAGTGGTAGCATAGTAAGAACTTTCTTGCAACAAGTCTGATTTAAAGGGGGGAAAAAAGCACTTATTTGCAGAGCTGAAGTACTCAAATACTTCTTGAGAAAACAACAATGAACACAGAACCAGCAGATTCGCTGTGCAGAGGAATGCAATCATTTTAAAAGTATTTAAAAGTTTTGTGCATTCTGCAGAAGTGCCAAACAGCATCAGCAAGCAACCACAAGTGTAACTTTATCTTTTTATCATCTTAAAACAGTGTTCACACAAAGTAGATCACGAAGTACGCCTGTAAAATGTTTTGTACAAAATGAATGAAATCAAAAATTAACGATTTAAGGCGTGAACTCAGTCAAGGCAGTCATACATGAAATTGTGTGCAGTTTGTTGAACTGCGATAGCTTGTGTTTCAAATTATCTTTTTACTGATAAGAATGAAGAATATTTGAAATCAAGGATCATGTCAGAGTGGCTGACAAATGAGTCAGCTCTCTGTGATTGTTGTCACTAAATAAACTCTCATTGACACGACAGACAGCAGGCAAAGTTTACATAGCCTCGACGTAGCTTTCTACTGACAGATTGAATCGAGCTAACGCGTTGGCTAACAATTTAATTAGCTTTCCAGCTCCAAAAACAGTTTTTGTTTATAACATATCCATAGTTTTTAGGGGAGTGAGTCACAGTGCACGTAACATTTGTTTGTGTTTGTTTGCAGTTCTTCTGTGGACTCATCAGTTCGTGATAAACACACTGGTTAAACATCCAACAGCTAGCAGCTAGCAGCTAGCCGTGCTGGCTTCCTACCGTCTCCGCTCCTGTTGGTTGTGGCCCGGCAGCCTGGCCTGTTATCACTCCTCTGAAGAAATTCATTCTTACAGACGTCCTCTATAAGAAATGATGAAAGGCTCTATTTTTCAAAAAGGCCCTGACCATTAAAATGAAGGAAAAAAAGACCTACAATTGTTTTTATCGCTGTGCTCTCTGAGCAAACCCGGAACACATATGAGAAAAGGGCGCATGCGCGCAAACGTGGCGATACGTGGCCGATCAGCAAATTTAAAGGGCAAGAATATATTTTTGACACACTGAGCCAAAACTGAAATGATTTTTTTTTTCATGTAGTCTTAGTATGTCCTCAGACTTTATGAAGATCCTCTAAAAAGGCATTTATTTTTTGGACTTGGGCTGATTTTCTGTTTTCAAAGGAATGCTTTGTTTGTGCATTTAACTTTGACCTTTGACACAAAGGCTCTTCATCTCTTATGTATGAACCCAGTTTGTTACGCATGCAAAACAATGTAGCAAAGAACCAGAATTAAACTGTATCGTAAGACAATTTGTTACCTGCAGCCTGTCACAAAGACAAATTTTGTTCCACTTTTTTTAAAATAACAAAAATGACACAAAAAAAAAACATTGGAAACGTATTAATGAAAACTTTAAATACATTAGGCTGTGAGATATAGGGGCACGAAGGGTGCTGCAGCACCCTTCGTGCCCCTATATCTCACAGCCTAATGTATTTAAAGTTTTCATTAATACGTTTCCAATGTTTTTTTTTTGTGTCATNCAAAAAAAAAACATTGGAAACGTATTAATGAAAACTTTAAATACATTAGGCTGTGAGATATAGGGGCACGAAGGGTGCTGCAGCACCCTAATGACAACAGCAGAGCATACATATCTTATGTACCAGCACATTAAAAAAAAAGTAAAAGTACAACGAATGAAACCTAAATTTTATTATTGGTGCATATGTTTAAACATAGATATTATGTTTAAGAGTTTTGTAACCTGGTGTATAAACCAGCATAGTTATAAACCCACATCTGTGTGTAAAACTTTAAACCATAAACCCTCCAAATAAGTGGTTGAGGCAGGTCCTTGGCAATTTATGATCTTCTGAAAAAGAAAAACAAAAAAGGGAGGTTTTGTTCTGGTTAATCTTAGCGGAAGTCAAAGATCCCACCTCAAAGATTTAAATTTACAAAATGAAGCATCAACTCATGTCAGCAGAGTTTAAGAAGAGAATAGAACATCAAATTTACTCTGACAACTCGTCATTCGTACTAGAAGACCAAAAAAGTGGCAAAAACCTTAAAAAATTTAACAAGTTTTTTGAGCAAGAACCTGGAGATGTCACCTTGCAAAATGTGACGAGCTATTTACATCAAGTCTAGAGAATTACCTGTAAGCATGACAAGTAGTATGACAATGCTGTTATCAGTAGTTTATTTTATGTTAAATCCAACACATTCAAAATGTAAAAGGAAAAAAAATCTAAACTAAGGGAGGAGGGGCAACAATTTGTACCAACAACAAAGGTAAACACGGTAAAAACTAAGATGGAAGCCAGCTGTTTACCACACCTGCTAAAGCCAAGACGATACTTTTCTATTTCCACTCAAAGGACTGGAATGATTCACAATGAGATGCATTGTTTGTAGTTTTAACACAGGAAAAAGAACTTGCAACCTTCCATTATCTTGTGAGGATCCTTTACAGTGTGGGTAGGGGATGAATTCTTTAATATCTCGAAGAAAAAAAATAACAATTACCTGACTGCGTTTCTAAACATGTTTCCACTAATAACATGAAAAAGCCCAACATTGGTCTGAAAGCATGATGGCTCTTCTTCACCGCTCTCTTTGATCACTGCAGTAAACTGGCCGGGTTAAGAAACAGCCATGAATATAAGAGAATTTTGACACTCAAGGAGTACATTTTTCTGTAACATTGGCTCATCAATAGCTATCTGAAGGCTAAAATGATCTCAAAGGGGAAAAGTAAACACTACCTTTAGGTATCTTAGGCCAAACATTTAATGCTGAGCAGTTTTTCGTTGTTGTAAAAGCCTTTCTTTTAGAGCGACGGATTGTCCCAGGACTATTGGAAATAGTGCAATACCACCAAACAAGGAAGACCTTGGTATACTTGTCAAGAAAAATGCTACATCGTAATTTTACTTCCCATTTCAGTGCAAGATAACAAAATAACCAGAACAGAAACAGCTTTCACGTTTTCTTTTTCTAGCTGAAATCAAAGTCTTTCCTCCCTACAGAAAGTTAAAACCAAAACAAATCCTAGGAGACAAGTGAGGAGCCAACAAATTCAACTGTTATAACCTTGACTTAAATAGAAAAAACAAATTAAAATAAAATAAGCACAGTGAATAATCAGCATATGAAAATACAAATGCATTGACAATAGAAAAAGTGTGCACAATTATTTACTTGAGTGATGGCCGCAGCTTTGGTCAGCCGAACCACACAAATCGGTACAAAATTGTTTGTAAGAAAAAGCAAACAACTCTTGAGTCCAATGATTAACCCGAGTGCTGCGATGATGTGCAGAAAAGATAAAAAATAAAAACACTATCCAAGAAAGGTTCAACAGAGTCCGATTTACCTTGTGAAACATTAACACTTTCCAAAAGTTTAGTTTAACGAAACGCAGAATCTCCACGTTAAACCAAAGACCGATCGTTTTCCCATTTTTAAACGTACCATCTGTCGTTTTAAAGTGTGTGTGTGTGTGTGTGTGTGTGGGGGGGGGGGGGCATAATCTTTAGATGCACTTTTTCCCTGAACAGGAGGCAACTTTAGTTTCTACAAAATTCAGAATTACAGGGAAAGCAAGCTCACAGCAGACCATCTCAAATAATAAAATGATACAGAACAAAACAAACCTGAAAAAACAAATCTTATGAATACTGTTATTTCAATCTGCCCTCAGCAGAATAAGAGTTCAAAACAAGCAGCTCTGGACACCAGGAGGCAGCGAGCCTCGAACCGCTTTGCACTTCAGTAAGACTCGAAAAGGTGAAATTGAAGGCACCATCATGCTTTTTGTATCAAGCCGAGAAATAAAAATTATACACAGAAAAAGCAAAACATACTAAACTATGATTTTTTTTTTTTTGCTGTACATTTATTTGTTACTCTGCACTCGAGACAAGGAGGGAGGGAAGGAGGAAAGATTATGCTCATCCCAGTGCCACAGTCAAGCTGGCTGGAAAAAAAAACTGGAATAAAAACAAAACAAAAAACTGAGCCATTATCGCTTTCTATTGTTCGTCTTCTGTCCCCAGAGTTCTCATTTGGTCAAAGTCCTGAAGCTGAACTTTTGATTTAAAAATGACAGATAAAAAAATGTTGATTTGCTCATCAGCTTGTCCATCCAGCAGTGGCTGAAGCTTAGGTTTGGGTCAAAAGTGTGAGAAGTACATTGGTCACAGCAGCCAGGCTGTGATGGAGACCTGTCCTGGAACATTGTGTCACATTAACATAAAGGTCCCTCCAGCTGTGTTCGGAGCATGGACGCCAACGTAACACGAGTACCCATTAGTGCATATCGGTGAGTGCATTATGCAATTTTCAAGCAGTGGTCTTTCAAAAAAAGGGAGGGGAAAAAAGTAAAAGCCGAGCTTTTCCTCTGGAACTGCACAAACTTTGCATTTTGCTCTTGTCCAACAGTAATGGGCAGAAAACTACAATATAAATTGTGCAATCGAGGACTCTTATGAATCAGAAGTCAAGGTATATAATCTCTTCTCAAAATGATGGGCTGTTTTGTTGAAGTTTAAAGTCTTTTCAGTCCCTCCTAATGTGGCAGACTAGTCCTGGGTGGTTTGCCTTTATTCACAAATGGACAAATTTAGGATTGAATTCCCAAGATACCCCAAAAAAAATGATGTTCAGATCACAACTAATAAGCAACATGTATTTTTGTTTGCTTATTTGTTTGGTCTATTTCACAAACAAACTGTTGACAGGCTGTCACATTCCAAAGCAAAGAGGAAAAGAAACAATAAAAAAAAAGTAAACACCAAATATATACTTTATACATGACGATTTCTTTTCATTAATGAGAACGGTTCAGGGTGAAGAACATGATACGATTTCTTCTCAGCGACGCTGGGTCGTGAAGCGGCCCTCTCCCTGGCCGCTGGTGCCCCTCCCAGAGCCCATGCCAGGTTTGGGGGCCATGCCGCCTCGGGAGGGTGGTCCCCTCCCGTCACGCTCACGCATCATTCCACTTCCCACGACGCCTCGTGAACCTCCGGGGCCCCGATCGCTGCGCCTCATGTCCCGACGCTCGTCCCCGCCACGAATCTCTCGCTCGCGCACAGCTCTCGTCTTCTTCTCCTCCACATTGAGACGCACTTCTCCCCGAAACATGATGGGCTGCATCGAGAAGGGGACAGTCACTACTAAGACTCTTGTAGTTACAGTTCCACAATTACTGAGTGTTTCAGACATTAAAAACAAAGAACTGGATGAAAACTGCATACTACACACACACACTTGATAATGACAGGGAAGAAAGAATAAGTGACAAATTAAGAGAAGAAATGTATCACCAAACCACCACCAAAGAAAATGGGTAATGAAATATTGATACATGCCCCTTCTACCTTCGCCCCAAGGATCCTTTGCACAGGGTCAGGGTCATCAAAAACCACAAATCCAAAGTTGGGCAGCTTTCCACCGACCCCCTTGGTGTTGATTCGCAGTTCGACTACATTTCCATACGCTACAACAAGAACAAATAAACTATCACAATACAGTCTCAATTATTGTTTTATAAATTATTGTTCTAGAAAGATTCAATGTTTTGTTTTGTTAAGTGAAGATTATAATTTGAATTTATAATTAAGAAAAAAGGGGGCAGATATAAGTTTTTTTTCTTCTCTCTGCCATCTTTCATTTCATTTTATTTGTATTTTTTTATTGTACATAGAATTTTGTTTTTTATGGAATGAATAAAAGTTTGAAAAAAATTATTACTGGAAACTGAAGGTAACAAACTGTTGCTTTCTAAGAGAGAAAACGTACTCATGAAGAACTCCTTGAGCTCGTTCTCGTCAATGTCGTGTGGGAGGTTGCCGACGAACAGCTGGTGGCTGTCAGGGTATCTTACAATTCTCCTGGTGTCCAGATCACCAGATTCTGGATCGCTCCTGCCACCTGTAGGTGACAAACATGCACAAATCAGCAACTTATCCTCTTCATCACACCTGAAACTGAATACTAAATCTCACCAACAAATGAATAAAACTGTGCTATAGATATATTCACCTTTGTTAACAAAACTTAAGTGTGATTTTCCCGTTTGTGACTCTGATGATCCAACACCATCTAGTAGTGACAAAGACATGCAGATAGTGAGAAAAGTGGGAAAAAAGTAACAAAACCTTAATCTGGAAATGATTAGCATTACCAGGTCTGGGGCCTCGCTGGGTGAAAGTGGGTCTGTCACGGGTGCGCTGGTCTCTGGGACGAAGAGGTGTCGTCTGCGTCTCCGGCTTGGATTCAACTCTGGGCTGAACAAAGGACATCACATGAAAAAGCTACAACAACCTCACTTCATGCAAGGGGAGAGAAATTCAGAGACGGACATGTTGGCATATTTCAGTTCTAAAATTAAGTTTTACTAGTAATTTTATTAGAATTTATTCAATTAATAGTAATTCCTGTGTCAGACTGCTTGGGATTTTATATAAAATTATGTGCTCAGCTTTATATTTCAGGAGTAAACTTCAAACTTTGTTTTAAACAATCTCAAAGTCCCTCTTCCTAACAATACTGGAATAAATGTCACCATAATTATTACTGTACATTGGATTGACGCCTGAATCAATCAGAACACACAGACAGAACCTCTCTTCAAATTTCAGTACCTCTTACTGTTCTTTGGGGTTTTCTGTCGTGCCGATTAGCCCATTCAGACACAAAGATTAATGTATTTAATGTCACATCTTGTTCTAAATCTTAAAATGCTCCAATAAAAACTTTGTTTTCCCTCACCTCTAATGAAACTTTAAAGATACAGTCTAGTCAAACTTAATCATCCATGGTGGCCCTATTCATACAAGTGATAAGGAATAATCCCTCTCATATCATTCTAATAAACAATAGTTATGACCTGTATTTTACCTGTGAGCTTGTCCCTTTAACAACATGTGGTGAGATTCCAGAGGAGGCGACTGAGCCAGAAGGAGGCAGGTTTTTACTGGTCACCAGAGCCCAGGAAAAAGGCTGTGGGAAATGCAACAGTGCATCATTATGGGCTACACTAAGTCTGTTCAACCACTAAACTCTAGCAGGTTGAACCTTTAAACTAAGTTTTTTAAATTTATTTATTAAAATACTACATAATTATTTTTAGAAGTACAATAAAAAGTACAACCACATTTTGGCAGTACTGTGTTAAATTAATGTAGCAAAAGGAATGCTTTCTTTACGTCCCCTCATGAGAATCAACTTTTGAACTTGACAAAATCACAGAATTTGGTTGAGCTAATCATTGACTGTAAATGCAGGATTTCCTGTGTGGTTCCTATATGGTAGGCAGCACACCATGTACAGAGTTTTAAGAGCCATTACTGCTAAATAAATCAATTTACCTTGGGAGGCTCCTGGGGGTTTGGTGGAGACTCTACAGGCGCAGGTGAAGGTGCCTTCTCCTCCATTTCTTCCATGACCTTTTCATCTCCCTCAGGCTTTATCTCTTCTGCTTTTGGCTCTTGTTCAGGTTCTGGTTCCGGTTCTGGAGCTGGCTCATCCATGGGCTCCTCTACCCCATTTCTGCATGAGCAAAATTAAAAACAAAACAAAAAAATCTTCATGTACATGTCAAATTTTTTTTGCAATGTTTTAAGCTGTGTTTAGACAATCACCAGAATAAAACTGGTTAGTTCAGGCACTCAGGGTTAAACTCATCACCCCACTGGTTGATCATTGTCACATTTCCTGTTTTATGTGGGACCTGTGTGTGCCTCTTGTGTTCAAGTCTGTACTTTTTATGATTTTTTTGTTAAAAAAAATAGGAAAACAGGTCAAAGCATTGAGCCACAGTAAGAATTATCCCCTTACTGATGTTTGCACAATGACTGTTTATAAAAGACAGTCACAGATTTGTCCCTGCTATGTACAGATACAATCCCTTTTGATACCTTGCTGCTCAGACAGGAGGGGAATAATCACTGTGAAGGAAATTTTGTAACTGAATAACTGAATATTAGATGCTGTATTGTATTTTATACTTTCTGATCATTGCAGCCTTAAGTTTAAACAGAATAAGAGTTGGTGTGTATCTTATCACATTCTTTCTTTTAGCCTAAACAAAAATTTGTTACCTTCTGACGTCTGACGTAAAAGGTAACACCTCCAGGTGTGGAACCATGTACATTATAAAGGGAATTTAATTATTATAGTAGACAGAAGTTGTTAGTGTTTTGCAGAGTCTCTGCTCAGAGCAGAGCTGCTGTGTTTTGTTTTGTTTTTCAGCCCAAGGTCATACTGAGGTGTGCCGAGTGCTGTACTGTGAACCTGATTGGAGTCAGAAGGTTGAGAATAAAGTTTTAAAGAAGAAATCCAGCTGATTCCTGTTTTATTCGGACATACCATTTTGAACAACGCATTTTTTCTACAACTGCATAGCTGAGATATGTAGAGAGTTTTGAATTTAACAGGCACTTCCGATGTGTTAGAGGAAAACACTTTATTTCTGCTTTTTGACTGCATATCAGTAAAGTGGAGTTCCCAAACAAAGCTTTAATTATTCAGGAGTAGGATCAATTCTGCTTACGCAACAGGGTGAGGTTCATAGTAGCTGGTGCTGTTGGGGCTTTCCTGAAGTGGTTCAGGGGATGGCTGCCTTTCTTCCGGTTCCTCCTCAACTTCCTCCTCTGATTCTGGATTTTAAAAAAGGAAATAAACGAACCTCATAATGTTAGATTGGGGAAACAGCAATCTAAAGTTTTAGTAAAATTAATTTTTACCTTCATCAAGCTCAGCCTCAGAGTCTCCGAAAACCTCGTCCTCATAGCAGAAGATATCGTTGTGGACATAGAACTTGTTTGCCACCGAACCCTAAAAACACAATTCAAACAAATATTTTAATATTTTCAGGTTCACAATGAAAATACAGTTGAGTAATTTTAATGATGGTTTCTCAAATCAGAATAAAGAAAGTGATTCTGCTACATCCTGACTTCACACTTAGGCATTTACTAATCAAAATAATTTCAACTCACCCATTGAACCTCATTAGCGTAAACATTTAATAGCTTTAATACAAGTATGCCACAAATCACAGAAAATAAATGCGTGTTAGTGTTCAACTCGAGCCAACAGCCCTGAAAGGTGATGCTCTCACCTCTGGAGCAAGCACAAACGTCTGCATGAACTTCCTCATAGGTTGACCGTTGTTCGACAGCTCTCCAAGGACTTGTACCACAACTCCATCACTCAGCGTGGCGTGAGCATCAACGTGTCTGATCTTTGTGTGGCACTCGCTGAACTGCAGAGACATTACCTTCTTGTGGATTTCCTGAAATGCAAATAATTTAAAAATATATATATTTAGATAAGCATTTTGGTTTTTTTTTTATGCTTGAATGGATTTTTTAGGCAATGAAAAATAAGAAACATTTCCCCCATTTACAATTTTGACAGATTGTGCAAATTTCTTCATGTCCTTCCTTCAAAATTTTGTTTTACATGTTACGTACAGGACTAAATGGTCTTTGATTTTTCTAAAGATTCTAAACCACAGCTGAATGTCAAACTCAAAATTAATATTGTTCAGTTTGTAAATTGTCCATCTTTCATCAATCTGATGCGCATTAGCTTCAATCCGCTTTGTGATATTGGAGACTATGAAGAGAAAAACACAACATAAGAGGAGCTTTTCCATACATTCTTACGACTGATTTCTTAAAAATATTAATTTTGTTTTCTATACTTTTTCTTTACCAAAAGTAAACATGCATATGACTTTTTTGGCATTTATGGCATTAAGGCATTTATGTTAAAGTTCTTGTAAAGCAAACTCATATCAGACTGTAACACATACCGCTTGCCCATACACTGCTTCTGCCAGCTTCCCACTTGGGTCAAGTCCTCCATGAACATAAGAGGAATTCCTCCCATAAAACCTAAAAATACAAGAGTAGTGAAAAATTTCATCAACACCTGCAGAATTGTGTTTTTTTACCTAAGTGCCACATTACATTTTTATCCTCACCTGTGGAGAAAATCTGGTGCCTTGTTTAAGAGTGTATAATACTGCCTCACAAACTCCCGCCCTACAAGCAGGGGACTTGGCTTCTCCATCACCATTTCTTTGGTAWACAATATTAAGTGCTGAAACAGATGAAGTTACCATAGTTTAGTTGCTGTCCAGAATAAAAACACTTATGTATGTACACAAATGGTGAATTGAAGGCAGAAAACAGTAAAAAGTGTTTGAGAAAGCAGGTGCTCACGTTCCTATAAATGCTTTGAAAAAACACGCTGAATATTCAACTTTGAGATTGATCAAAAGTTCAAATGTTAAAATACTTCCTTTTATAGAACAGTTTCACTTTCTTTTTCTTGTTAGTTCAAGTTTTGCCTTCATCATCTTGGCTTTATTTACACGGGATGAGCGAAACTTTTTGACTAGATTTTGTGACCTGTCAAAATTTTTAAATTGTACTGTCATATAAGAAAAGTCAAATAACTGTGTGTACTGCATGAACAATGCAGATAGGTAGCATTTGAATTTATTCACAAATGTTTGGAAAAGCAAATTTACTTGAAAGAGAAAATTCACTGAATAGTAATACTTGCTGGCCAATATTTAATGAGTGATTATTTTTCGTAACAAATTTGAATAAAATAGTAAATCTAAAAAATAAAGCTATGTGATGACACTGCACCAACCTGGCTGAAAATCATATTTCAACGTGATTACAGAAACTAGAATAACTCATCTACAGAAAATCCCTATTCGGTGACAATCTGATCCGTTATTATTATTTTTTTCTGGATGCCTCACACATTTAACTGCGCCATCGGATTCACGCAAAGAAACAAAGGGGCAAAGAGGCTGTGCGTGAAAAACGGGAAGCATTGGACGCAGGCGCTCACGTCCATCAGTGGATTAATCGAGCCTCACAAAACAAGCTGTCCTTAAACCAAAAAAAGTCGCATACATGTGTCCCGCACATACATCTGCGCAATCCTTTGTACACGAACGGCCTGCTGCTCGAGGCCTTGCGTGTCTTTGCCGACAACACCTCGCATCTGTCGCATGTTCACACACAGGACACATGACGCACCAGGCTCACGTTTTTTCAAGGAGACGAAGTTCCAGAAATTTTAGGAACACGGCGTACCTATGCAGACAAGCTAACGCTACATTAGCTTTACTGTAAATGCAAAACGTAAATGTCAATAAGCCGGACGCTTTGCTGTTACTTGAAGCAGCTAACATTAGCAGTGAAAACAACAGCTATAGTTTGAGCCTACGACACCGATGCCTAGCATGCTAACATTAGCTAGCACCCCGCTAACTTGTGGCGTCGTCTTATTTCCTCCATTGGTGGGTAGTTTTTATGCTCGAGGAAAGCTTTAAATTTCAGCAGTCGTTTTTGATTTTATCAGTCAGCGGCCAGTAAAATGCTACTCTAATGTACACTCATGCATTCCTTAGCTTTAACAAGCTAAATACAATGATGAGGTCCACCAGTCGACATGAGCATGTTAAAGCCTACAGCCTAGAAAATTAAAACTCGCTCAGAAATAGTTTTTTTAGTTTCGGACATAAAGTTGAAAAATCACAGGCTCAATAATATAATGCCTCACCAAACTTAAAGCATATTTAACCTAATTTTCAACTTGACTCTGGCTTTCCAATCAGTGAAACTTCACTGCTATGCTAGCTCCAAGACAACAAAGGAAGCTAGTTTGACAAAGCTATATGAAACCTAAAATGTCAGTCCACAACTTAAAGTTATTTGTTTTAAGATATCAGCATGCTAAACAGATACAACACGTACTAATAGTAGTTAGTAATTGAGTAAACGTAAAATAGACAAGACAATGCAGCTGATCTTGGCTAGGTAGCTTGCCGGGTATGATGATGTCTAACTTACCTTCTGAAGGACCTATCTATACAGACAGAATTAAATTAAATGTAGTAAATAAGTACAAGTATTCGAAAGTAAACAGCTCTGAAATGCTATTTCACGTAAACTGTTATTTTACCTACACTCTACCACCAGAGTATGATCTCTGCTGAACCAGAGATTGAAGATTTTAAAGTGATACCTTCGATATATTATTTTACCCCTGCATTTGGGGCAGGGAACCCCCGTTACACAGGTTCAACCAATCAGCGGCTTACACTGGGCGATAGAATGTGACGAAGACCAATCACCACGCCCGCTCGTTTTTTCCTTATATTTTTTTCTTTTTTTTTAATAATATTGCTATTTTCTTTACTTGTTTCAAGAAATTAATTAGATTATACTTTTATACCAGTAAGATATTTAATGCTTCGTGTGCCAACAAAGATTTGCATTTTCAGATTGGTGTGCTTTTTTTACACAGTAACATTTTGAAACTTCAATTTCCCACTTGTCAGTAAATGCATCATTAAGAAAATAAACAAATACGCCAATGCATGATCCACCAATGTAAGCAAAGGTCAAGATATTTTAGTATTATTCAGTAATTTAATAAAGGAAAACATTTAAAAAAAACTTATGCAGTATGAGATAATGAATAACACAGGACAGGTGTGAAGATTGAGAAACTATGTCCAGGTGTGCAGGAAACAAATGAAGAATGCACATGAGATAAAACCAGCAAAGCACAATTTCCAAGTAATCCCAATAAATGCAAACACAAAACTAACTAATAGAAAATGTAAAAAAATATTAATAATAAAAACAAGCCCTTATCATAATAAAGCATACATATTTGACAAGTTACATAAATTCGATCTGTCATTTGTAAATTGTTTCAGAATTTAAAAAAATGCATTTACCCTTTTTATTTTACAAATATTTGCATAACATTTTCAGAATAGCCTTAACACGGGTGTTTACTGTGCAGACAGCAGAACCAGACTATTTATATTGTTACAAATGCGCATGCGTAATCTGTATATTTAATGTTAAAATGTGATTAAGAAATAAGATTAACGGGCACTCCTGACGGGTGTCGGAAGAACAGCAGAGCACAGCTGAAAAATTGATAGATTCACACAACAAACCAGAAGTAACCTATCTAGAGCAGTGGTTCCCAAACTTTTTGTCTTCTGACCCACAAAATATCCATGGCAAAAACTTGTGACCCCAAATATTACTGGTCTGAGTACACAAGCTTCGTTAATAACCCTAAAAACACAGGCTTTTTGACAATCTAAACAGCTTGTACACAAATATAAATACTTATTTATACTTATTTTGTGTTTTTGTACTAGTTATAGGGAAAATATTACATCAACAATTGTTTAATTACCCTTTAAATGGATTTCTGGAGATTATCCAAGGTGCTTCATGACCCATAATTGGGTCCCAAGCCCAACTTTGGGAACCAAAGTGCAGTGGTTCCCAAACTTTTCAGCTTTTGACCCACAAAATAACAGTAGCAGAGACTTGTGCCCCCAGCTAATTTTGGATGATAAACATTTGTATCAGGTCAACTAAACATGGGCATAGTAACAATATTTTTATACTACATTTATCTATTTTAAATACACTAACCTCACTCCTTTGTAACAACTAAGGCAAAAATGTAATTAATTCAGAAAATCTTTTCAGGACCCCACCTTGATTTTTCGGGATCCCACTTTGGGTCCCGACCCCAACTTTGGGAAACACCGGTCTAGACCACAACAATAAAAAGTTTATGCCTACACTGCGCATGCGCGTTAGTAAATTAGCGTCTTGTTGTAGCAACCAGAGACCGAAGTACACGGAAGTGGTTTAATCTCTGTTTAAGCAACTAGAAATATTATCAGGAATTCAAATGGTTTATTACCAGTTCTAACTGCTTCGTAGTGAAAATTTGTGAATCAGTATGCTTTTTTGGTCAACACACTAATAAATAATAATTAGTTTATTTCTCAAAATATCTAAAAGACAAACATCAGTACAGGTAAAATACTTTATCCCCATCCTTTAATGCGACGCCATGACTTCTGGTGTAACCCGAGACCCAAACGGAGGAGGAGGAGGAGGATGAGATTTTAGGAGAAACGAGTTAAAAACAAGATGGCTGTTGTAGGACAAGGAAAATATTTTCGCTTTTTCTTTTTAACCTAAATTAGGCATTTTGGGGGCAAATATCTGGATATGAAGGGTTACCATGCTGTCCACGGATAGCCTTTATTCATGCAAGTAGAGGGAAACTTTGTGTTAACTTTGCAAAGAAACAAACTAACGGGACCATGAGTTCATCTCGAGTCAGACCCCAGCAGCAGCCGCAGAGCCAGCCCCGCAAACTCGACCCGAGTGAGGGGATAGAGATGGAGAGCATCCAGCACCAAGACCTGGGCCTCGGAGGGGTCATAGGCACCCCGTCCCCGCCGTCCAGGCAAGCGTGGAGCCGGGACAACCCGGGTTTCGAGCCCGAGGAGGAGATCATGGAGGCGGACTGGCCCTCGGCGAGTCCCGTGAGGAGGGCGGTATCCGCGGCCTCCAGGGGCAGCTGCAGCAGCGGCCTGGGAGGCAGCTTCAGCCGCGAGCAGATGCCCCGTGGAGGACTGTACCCCACCCCGACCCCGACCCTGAATGCCCAGCAGCAAGACGGGCACGAGCACCTCGGCTGTATGAAGCAGATCCTCCAAAAAATCAGAGGTGAGTTATAAAACAGTTTTCCTGCACATCAGATCAACTCCCAACTGAGTGTGTCACTCTGCAAAGTTATGTAACATAAAAAAACAGACTGAAAATATGACTATTAAAGTATTTATTGTTCACCTTTAAAAGGCAGGTATAGTGTAATTAACTTGTTTAATAACAACAAAAAATATTAAAGACAAAGTTCAATGTAAAGGAAGACTGATTCACCTCCAATTTATTAAAAAACACTAAATGTGAAAAGTTTAATAAATTAAAGCATTTATTCTTTGAAATGAGCACATATGTAGTGGAGTTGCTATGATGTTGATTCTGCTCTTCTTTACATTCAAATTAAAGCAGATCACTCTGTACATATTACCAGCCTGGATGTTATGCATATATGCTGTATAATTTGCACATATCTATATTTTCTTGCATGGTTGGTTTATTTGTTTTTTACAGTTCTGTGGGGCACAGATTTGATGGAGGACAGTGACAGCAGCCGAGAACGGTACCTCAGGAACATTTTGAGAGAGATGCTCACGTATTTCGCATTCCTCATTACTATTTGTGTTTGTAAGTAAAGACAGAAAAGTCTTGCAGAATCCAAACTTGTTTTTTTTTTCTTTAGAGAACATTCTTGTACAAACTTGTTAGTGTTGTCCTCCTCAAAATTAACAGATAAACTTGGCTGTATTAGGATTTATGCAAAAGTATCTTCATGTTGTGAATGTTGAGATAAAATAGACGATCAGTGGATTCTCTGTAAGCGATTGAGCTTTTAGTGCTTCTATCAGATCAGTGTACAAGCTTAATGAATTGTGACAAGCGCCGGGTTGACAAAACAAAGTCATCTGTTCTCTCTGAAGTTTAACTGAGTGTGATATTCTCTTAAACACGTATTGCTTTATTAGATGTTAGTTTAGTCATTGTGAAAAAAGTACACCCTGTCACTGCCAGTAAAGACATGTGGTGTAATCAAAGCTTAAGCTAGTCATCAACAAAAGGTTAATTTTCTGAGCGCAAAACTGTTGTCCTGCACTGAAAACGTGCAGTTAAGAGTCACATGTAGCTTTTTTTTTAATGTGGCACCATCCCTAGCTGGAAAACTGTTTTCCACTGTCTGACTAAGCTTAATGAGTTTGGCAGCTAAAGATTTTGTCTCCGTTTATTTGCAACAGGACTGAATTTTGAACAAAATCCCAACTTTTAAGACCACATATTAAGATGGAATATAATGTTCATGGTTAGATAAGCCACCACTTTTTTTTTCTTTTTTTATTTTCTTTGCTTTTTTTAAGGCAGTTAAATGCCACACTGTGGTTTAGGGTGGATCAGGAAATAATTTCCTGGCAGACAGAATTGGGGCACATTACACCAGGCAGAGCTTGACTCCTACTGTGAAAGCCAGAGAAAAATGTTATGCATAGTTAAAACAAAAAGCTCAGTTGAAAGTGATTTAGGGTTTTATATCCTGTGCTGTTGTTTATGCTTGAGGAAATCACACATTAATTGTGTTTGCTCATTCTTAAAGCATCATCACTTCATTTACTTTCTTTTTTAATAAGTCCAGCAATAATTGCCTTTTATTTCTCTGCAGTGACCTATGGGATGGTTAATGCCAACATGTACTATTACACCAAAGTTATGTCTCAGCTGTTCCTCGACACGCCACTGTCTCCTGGGGACCCTATTACTTTTAGGAGCCTCTCCACCATGGAGGATTTTTGGAAGGTAAAGTACAACATAAATACTCTTTCAGTTAAAAGTATGCAACACGTATTAGGAATCTTACTTACTGGGAGAGAAAGGCTTTGCACAAGTGCAAACTTTAATTTTTTTTTGCATTTATGCTTTTTTTACTCTCATGCTGCAAGTTTTATATTTGCAAATGAAAATTTCTGTAGTTTTCATGCTTGGCATGGAGAATCTTTCGCTCACAGCTTGGTGCAATCCCTCCAGTGCCTTGATGTCTGTAGTAGGGTTGGGCATAATCGTATCGTGTGCAATTAATCGCCAGAAAAACATTGATCGATTTATTTTTTGGCATTTGACGATTAATACGATTAATGCCACCAGCCAGTCCGCTCGGTGCTCCTCTCCACTTCAAATATGATGAACATTTAAAAAAAGTTCTGTAATTTATTTATCTATCAACACAACTTAAAATTTGATGTATAGCCTGACGTCTGTAATTTTGACACAATTTGGAACAGATATTTACAGAGCAAATCTTTCCCACTAAATTGGTAATGTGACTAGGACATAAGGGTGTCCAGGGACTCCAGAAGATTAATCGTAATTTAAATCATTATTGGCTAAATACCACAATTAATCGTGACTAATTGTTTTACCAATATTGCCCAACCCTAGTCTGTAGGTAGTCAGATGTCTCTGAACTGTAGAGAGGATTGTGAAACCTACAGCATTGTAAACTAGGGGTTATTGGGAGATATTTCAATAATCCAAAATCCAGTCCTTAAGCTTCCCAAAGACCGTCACTGTTTGATCAATGATATTACCTTATAAAGGCCATCATTGGCTGATAAGATGCAGCTAAAGTACTTGAATTCTGGGGCAGACTCCAGGTTTTTGTTGTCAGTCCTGATGTCATTGTTTGGATTATCAACGCTGTCTGGACTAGAATGAAACAGTCTTGGTTTTAATCGTGTATTCCCAATATGGTTCACATCTGTTTGCATGGCTTCTTTAACAAGAGTTACCATCATGTAATTATCAGCAAACTGCAGGTCATTGATGTTAGCCTGGCTACTTTTGGTGTGTTTATTAGCCGTTGCTGTTTAAACAACTTTCCAGCATATCAGAAAACTATTGCACCCACAGGATGAAGGTGGTCTTTCATCCAGTTGATGATAGAGACCCTTAATATATTTCTAAGGTCCAAATGCCTATTTTGTTTTATAATCCTAATTTTTCTGCTCTTTGTAGTTCACTCAGGGGCCCTTCCTTAATGGTATGTACTGGGAGGTTTGGTACAACAACAAGAGCCTGCCAGAGAATCAGAGCCTCATCTACTATGAGAATCTCCTCCTCGGGGTGCCGAGGCTCCGGCAGGTCAAAGTCCGCAACGAGTCCTGCTCCATCCACAAGGATCTGCGGGATGAAGTCCATGACTGCTTTAACATTTATACTCCAAGCAACGAGGACACCGGCTCTTTTGGCCCAAAGAATGGAACAGCGTAGGTCAAAGCTTTTGGGAAACAAAACAAAGATTAAGATGTAAGAAATCTGACCTGTTAACACAAGGGGGGCACCCGCATCTTTTTGTCTTGACGCCTGACAGGTGGGTGTACACCCGGGAGAGTGGGATGAATGGCAGCAGTTTCTCGGGTCAGGTGTCGACGTATGGGGGTGGCGGATACTACCAGGACTTGTCTCGAACAAAAGAGGAGTCAGCCGCTCAACTGCAGTTCCTCAAAGATCACTTGTGGCTGGATCGGGGCACAAGGGCCGTCTTCCTTGACTTCTCTGTGTACAATGGAAACATAAATCTTTTTTGCATTGCCAAGTAAGAACTACCAGCCTCATCACATCCATTTAGCAGAACCAAATACAGATTTGAGTCCTTTTTATAATGTCTCTGCTTTAAACCATCCGGTGTTTGAATGAATAAAGTAAAGTGTGTTGATCTGTCAGGTTATTGGTGGAGTTCCCTGCCACTGGTGGGGTGGTGACCTCCTGGCAGTTTCAGACGGTGCGTTTGATACGATACGTGTCCAGCTGGGACTACTTTGTGGGCGTGTGTGAAGTGGCGTTCTGCCTGTTCATCCTTTACTATGTGGTCGAAGAAGTGTTGGAAATCCACATCCACCGGCTGCATTACTTCAGGAGCACGTGGAACTGTCTGGATGTTCTCATTGTTGTGGTGTGTATCACAAGATTGCCCTTTGACTTTACAATTTCTGCACGCATGATGACTTGGCTTCATTTTGTTTTCTTTTATAGTTGAGTGTTGTTGCCATTATCATGAACATAACCAGAACAGCCATGGCCAGAAATCTGCTCAATGGCCTGTTAGAGAACTACGCTGCTCACCCCAGCTTTGAGCCGTTGGCCAACCTGCAGGTCCAGTTTAACAACATGGCCGCAGTGATTGTCTTTTTTGCCTGGGTCAAGGTACATATCCTTTCCACGCACTTTAACGTCACTCCAAACAATCTTTTCCCACTGCATTGTGGAGTGACATAATCTATTTCTCACTTCCACCAGCTGTTTAAGTTCATCAACATCAACAAAACCATGAGCCAGCTGACCAGCACCATGTCCCGCTGCGCCAAGGACCTCGTGGGGTTTGCAATCATGTTCTTCATCATCTTCCTGGCGTACGCTCAGCTCGCCTACTTGGTGTTTGGAACGCAGGTCAATGATTTCAGCACTTTCCAAGCCAGCGTGTAAGAGCAAATCGGCATGCTGCGAATTCAGCAACACTTCAAACAAATGAGCTTTTCAGGTTGAAATAATAATAATTTCAAATGTTTTCTTGTTTGTATAGATTTACCCAGTTCCGAATCATCCTGGGAGACTTTAACTACTCTGAGATTGAGGAGGCAAATCCGGTGCTTGGGCCTATTTACTTTTCAACTTTTGTCATCTTCATTTTCTTTATTCTCATGGTACAGTGATGGACTCAACAAGTTGTGGTGTTTTTTTTTTTTGTTTTGTTCTCAACACTATAAATGATGCTGAAATGCTCCTTTCAGAACATGTTCCTGGCCATCATCAACGACACCTACTCTGAGGTGAAGGCGGATATGTCGCAACAGAGATCTGAGATGGAAATGACTGATCTCATCAAGAAGGTATTCAGCTAAAAACGCATGCCCACAGAGTGATCTACGGGCAGACAGTTTTCTATAAATATACTTTAACCTCTTGAGCCCCATGCCCCCGGTACCAAGGGCAAAATTGTTTTTCTTTGCCGTTTTCTATTTCCTTTAACTTCATTTAACTTAAGACCTGTCAGTTGAACCTGGACATGTCTGGTATCAAAAGAAACCTAAGAATCTTGGAAAAGCTCATGGAAACTATTTTTACATTTTCCAAACACAGTTCAAACGTCAAGCAGTTGAATCAGAAAGTAAATAAACTGTACAAAATGGCATCATTGCAAATCTGTAAAGGAAATTTTTCTGATGTTATTTTTTTAAGTAAGTCAAAGTAGATACATAAGTAGGTTATAAAGTGTGTTGAAAGTTTTTTTTCCACTTGATTTTGAGTGAATATGATCCAACTGAAGTCAAGTATAATTTCTCATTAATTTATATAATATATATGGTGACAAATAAATGTTTGGATAACTTTTCAAAAGAACAAACATTCAATAACAAGTCTTTAAGAGCAGCTAAAAAAATAAATAATTTTTGGAAATAAAAACGTAAGATTTCTTAACATTTATTAATGGTACCATCATGGTCCGTCCTGTGCAGAATGACAAAATGCTAAATTATTTCTTTACTAAAACCTCTGTAACTTTGCTCCAGTTAATTTTAGCAGCATGAAACTTTGCACAGGTAATGTACACAAGTGGATTTATGGTTTCCAAGAGTTTTTAGCTTGAATCATTATGATTTTAAATAGGTTATATACTGTCTAATGAAAAAAATATTCAGGTGAGTGAAAAAAAGTTCCATCCCCAATATCTCTAAAACCACAGCAGCTGTTTTTATACTTACACGTCTAATGAAATCTCCCAAGTGTTAGTTTTATTTTGATACCAAGATTATTTAAGTAGAATTTGTAAATGCTGAGATACACTCAATTACATTTCGGTATGGTATTTTGAGCAAAAACTTTAAGAAAACCCCTTGGGCCTTAAGAGGTTAACCAGTGTAGAATTATAAAAACAAATGTTAAGTATAAATTGGTGCAACAATGAGGTTGCATTTAACATGTTTTACCACTAAAAGTCACCGTAGTGTTCACATGGGACCTTTAACTCCATTCTGTTCCTACTGTCTTTAGTTAGTGTCCACTTCAGTAGTCATTTCTTTCTCAGGTAATTTAGACAAGAAAATAGTTTGTTTTGCAGAGTATCACAATCTATAAACCAACTTAAAAAAGAAAGACTTGATGTGTAGTTTGTGCACTCTTATTAGGTTTTAGTACTGAAAACCAGATGCAGGAATTGTTTAGACTTTTTAGAGTGGAAATGATGGGAGTAAACTTTTCTGAAACACTTAAGGGTTTTTATCTAAGTTTGTGCAACTTTTTGCAGAATGACCCTATGAATGTGTATTAATTTGAACATAAATCAAAGTGTTTTTGTCATTATTTTCCCCCACAGGGTTGTAACAAAGCGTTGATGAAGTTAAGACTGAAGAAGACGGCTGTAGATGACATCTCTGACAGTCTGCGGCAAGCAGGGGGAAAACAAAACTTCGACGAACTCCGTCAGGATCTAAAAGGGTGACTAAAACCTCGCATCATGCTTAATGCGATTAACTAGTTGTGATGTTTGTGTTTGCATTGTCGAATCCTTTACCTTACTGCTGCTCACCAGTGTGCTCTGTTTCCTTTTTTTCCATTCAGAAAGGGCCACTCAGAAGCAGAGATTCAGGCCATCTTTGCAAAGTACGACCAGGACGGCGAGCCCGAGCTGACTGAGCACGAACACCAGCAGATGAGAGATGACCTGGAGAAAGAAAGAGTGAGTTCCACTTAAATAACCAGAGTCGCTGCGGCGAAGGGCGCCGCCCACAGCCACAGCGCCTGCAGACGCTCAGTGTGTCTCTGCTCATACGCTAGGAGGACTTGGAGCTGGAGCGCAATTCGCTGACTCGACCCAGCAGTGGGCGGAGCTTCCCTCGCACCCAGGACGACTCGGAGGAGGACGACGACGAGGACTCCGGTCACAGCTCACGCCGCCGCGGCAGCAGCTCAGGGGGCGTCTCATATGAAGAGTTCCAAGTGTACGAAGCTTTTAGACATTTGTAACTAACACACAGGTTGGCTGATGGCGACACTGATCTACACAGGCCAGACTGTGTTGAGATAACTTCAGGACATCATGAACAGTGCAGTTTATTCCACATTTACAGAAAAGAAATGGGCAGCTGTTTAACAGGATTCAGGATTTGCAACTTTAACTGTGCTGCTGACAGATTATAAATGGTGTTGAAACATGGAAACAGAAATTTGACAGAAATGCTGACTAACAGGGTGCAGATGTGATTCAGGCATCTACTTACCTCAGAAACGCTCCCTTGGATGTTTCAGTGAAAGTCAAATGAGTAAAAAATAAAATAAATCAATTAAAATATATATTTTTTATTTTAAAATTAAATAGACAAAATTTAAATTTAAACAATTAAAATGCCATACAAATAATGATTAAAAACAGCCACAGTTTAAGGAAGTCATCAGTGACCTCCTTGTTCTCTGCCTGCCAGGCTGGTGAGGCGAGTGGACAGGATGGAGCACTCCATCGGCAGCATCGTGTCCAAGATAGACGCCGTGATCGTGAAGCTGGAGGGAATGGAGAGAGCTAAACTGAAGAGGAGAGACGTTCTGGGCAGGCTGCTGGATGGAGTCATGGAGGTGAGACGCAGAGGACACATTACCATTATCGTGATAATTGTGCTTCACTTCTGACCCCGCAGCTAAGGAAATCCTCAGCCCACCATCACAATAAACACTCACACACACGCGCACGTTTTCTTTAAAGCTCCTGCTCCACCTGGTTGAATTAAAACTTATGTTTGTCAGGACGAGCGTTTAGGACGGGACACAGATGCCCACAGGGAGCAGACGGAGAGACTTGTGAGGGAGGAACTGGAGCTCTGGGAGTCGGACGATACGGTCTCGCAGGTCAGCCACGCTCAGACGGCTACGCCCGTCGGCCCGCGGCCTCGCCCTCCCTCCTCCCTGTCCACCGACGGCCTCGACACAAGCGCTAACGGGGGCGCCCATGTGTAAGGACGTGGTGAGCCAGAGAATCCTCCACGATGGAAAGAGGCTACACACAATATGTGCAAATACTGGGCTTTATTAAAGATGTTTAAAATAGCTGACACAACGCTGAAGACAATGACAAAATCAAACTGATCTCATCTATTTTAATGAGATCATAATTTGACAGTGTTTCTTAAACTCTCCAATCAGGAAATAATATTTTGAAGATAAAAATACAAAATATATCAGAAGTTCTGAGGTGTATTAAATCACAGTATTTAAGGAATGCACTGCCCTGCATGTTGAGTATCACTCAGAAGTCAGTTTATCACATTTACACACAAAAAAACAAGAAACATTTTATCCAGATATTCAACAAGCTTTTTGTATGTTTTTATATTTGTATAATTTTAACACTGATGCAAGTGTGGACTATTTTGTCATATTTACTCATCTGTTAAGCTTCAGATTAACCAGCTTATAAATTTATGCTACATATTGTAACTTGAAACAAACTTCGATTCGGAGTGCATCTAGTGTTCACAGGAAGCCTGTGCTTTTATTATTATTGTTATGTATTCAATCACTTTGATTTACAAGCCTTTTTTAAAATCCGTTTTGCCAAATAAAGTGTAAATATAAAATAAAACATGTCAGTTTTTTATTCAACTAAAATACATCTGGATCTATTTTATTTGTTTACCAGGACCTATTCTAGTTAGTTATATACTGAATGTGAGCCTAATTTTCAGGGTTTTAGTTGTTGTTTTTTATGAGAAAATTAACATTAAATACATAGATTTTTTTATTTTCAGTTGATTTGAAATGTTAAAAACGCCCCTCTAAATATATAAAGCTTACGGATCAAAACAAACTACTAGATTTTCATATTTATAGAGCACATTATTGCTAATAACATGAATCCAGTATACAGTAGTTGCAATAAATTTACTTTGGCAGAACATAAACAGCATTAACATTTCTTATTTTAAACAGCACAGTAAAGAAGTGTCCTGAAAATAGAGACAATTCTCTTTTTTTTCTTACTGTTACTTAGTGTCTGTGTACAGCCAAGCACAGTAACACTTCAATGAAAATGTAAATTTTACGTCAGCATTTTTTTTCAAACACTGAGAAAAAGTATTATAAAAGTTTAAAACGATCAACTTTTACATTATTCATTTGGAAGAAAAAAAATCAAAATTTTAGTAAAAATATATTTTTAGTGTATCCTGGAAATCCTGCAGAATGTCATAACGGATTTGTGTCAAATAATAAGTTAGCTGTAAAACAGTAGATTTTCCTTCTTTGAACTTTAGATTTAAACCATTTGTTGCTCTATAATGTAATATAAAATATATGTTGTTTTATAGATTTCTGATATGTTCACAGTTTGGAGACGTGTATCTTTAAATATACTATATAAAAAAACTCAGGCAGTTGATCAAACTATTACTTTCAAAGAACAATATTGTATTTACCAGGGAAAATAATAAAACATTCATTTATAATTTTCCATTCAGGAGAGAAATGTTGCAATCATCATCATGAGCTTTAAATACTCTGTCAACCAGGTAAGAATCTGTACTGATCAGTGGGTCACCAGCAAAATAAAGACAGCCTTGTCTTGTAATGTGTATGAATATTAAACTGTTACTTTTTAATACCCCAAACCAAACACATAATCTTTATAAATCAGTCCTGATTTATAAAGATTTGGAATTTGCTTTTGAAAATCCTCCATCAACCTCTATTTGAGATAAAAAGCCCACTCCTTCACATTAAAACCCTGAGAGTGGTCACTGCATAAAAAGGCAAATAGGACTATACCCTAAAATGTTGTTAAGTTATATCAAACACAAGGAAGACTTCAGAGCTGTGTTTTTAAGTGAATTTCTTGATGTAGCGGAGCTTCAGGTAGGCGATGATGAAGAATATCACCATCATAACAGTCAAAGCCACGTGGTTCTCCCACAAGCCCCAGGAGCTGTACTCTATGCCCAGATAGTCCAGGTGCTGCTCACCGCTACATCTGAAACGACATGTTCAAACCGGTCCCTGGTCAGGGTGCAGCCTGTAAACAAGACACTGCTGTGTGCGGGTCTACTCACATCTGGCCAGCTGTGCTCGCAGCGCAGTTGGTCTTTATTTCTGACGCATTGGCTCGTTGGTTTACAGACTCCTCGCAGAACTTCAGGCCAACAAACTCACTGATCTTCAAGGCCTGAGTGTACAAAGACATATTCATGTCAAAACTGGTGAGTTTTCACACAGCAGCTTTTGAAAATCTGTGTTGTATTTAGGATAAACTGTGATGTGTGGAGGTGAGGTCAAAGTGCCGTCGTTAAGTTTCCACAAGCTGTCAATCTCAAGCTTTCCTTTACTTAATTCCAGAGGTGAGGACTAAAACGATAAATCAAGGCCTCACCAGGTTTTTAGCACTTGAAAGATCATAAACAACCTTGTCCAGATGACCTGAGGGTTCTGCAGGGTCCATGAATTAAGAACAATGCTGAGAGGAATCATGGACTAAGACTATCAAAAGTTTTATAAACAACCAGAAAATTCTTATAATTATTCCCAAAAGGCAACATGTAGCCAGTGTCGATCCTGTTTCTTTTTATTTTTATTTTTTTATTAACAAACCTGCAGCTGAATTTTGTAGCAGTTGTAACTTTGCAACTGTTTATCTAGAAACACCAGGAACAAAATCAGTGTTTGTAACCATATAAGTTTTCAAGTGATATCAAATTTTTCTAGGACTGATTTAATTAGGAATTTAGTTTCAGCCTGGTTGAGCTGTAAGAAATTACTTTCCATCCATAGTTTAATATCTAAAATGTAGTTATAAAGATTGTAGATTGGTTTGGTGCCATCAAAAAAAATACAGTAACAGAAAACTGTGTTATCAATATAGTTACGAAAATTAATACTTTGTCTCCTGAAAGTGGCTCTAATAGGAAAAATATAAGGTTGGAAAGTGTTAGATCGAAAGTTAAATCTTGAGAAACACAACACGATTGTTTTAGTTTTTTATGTATTGATTAATGATAAGATGATTTGAACAATTTAATTACAGTTACAGATAGACCCAACCAGTAATTGTCTGAAAAAGACTGAATTAAGAATGCTGTGAACTTTATAATGTTCCTGAAAGTATTTCTGCCAAACCAGTGTTGGGTTTTACTCACAGCAAAACCGTAACGAGGAATACTGAAATACTTCAGCCAAGCCAGCCAGTCCATGATGGTGGGTAAGTTCACCAGAAGGCCTGAAAAAATCTGAAAACAACAAAACACACTCAGTCTATGGATTTTTTTTACAGCACATGCACCATTATAGACAACTCCTGTGCAGGGAATAAACCTTTATGAGCAGTCTTTGAATCAGTTGCAGTCACTCTTTGATCACTCACAAGTTTGTGATGTTACTGCTACGTGTCTCACCATCATGAAGACAAAGGTGATGGTCATGAAGAGGCTGGCGAGACCCACCACACTCTGGTCAGCTGAGATGGCCATGGTGAGGGCTGTGGCTGTGTAGGCCACCAGAGTCACAGTCAGTGTGAAGACGAGGAAGGCTTCGACTGTGGACTTCAGTCCTGAGAGGTGAGTCAATAAAGCAGGACAGAGTCATCGCTTTTATTTCAGTTTAGTTTGCGTAGTTTGAACCTTAAAACAAACTTTTTACTTCTGTAAGACTGATTTATCCATACAAACAATTATAAGTAAGTAAAAGCACCATATGTAGGCACAGGAAGTAGACAGCAATAGGTGCAAAGTGTGTGTTTCAACTCCCAAACAAAAGCCAAAGACCTCATAAAAATGCTGGCTGAAGCTAGTAAGAGGGTTTCAATATCCACAGTAAAATGAGTCCTGGGTGGAAATCCAGAAAACTATTGTGAAAATCTCAGTCGTTGCAGATGATTGTGGAGATGGAGGTATGCACTTGAAAGAAGAGGGATGAAATTAAACCGTTGCAACTTGGGAGTGACAAGGATGGATAAGATTAGGGTTGAGATCATCAGAGGCGCCGCACAGGTTGAATGACTGAGAAATAAAGTTAAGAGATGAGACAGATGATTTGGATGAGTCCAGACAAGGGACAGTGGACATATTGGTAGAAGGGTTAGAGATGCAGCTGCCAGGAAAAAGACAAAGATGAGTTTGAGTACATGAGTGCAGTTAGAGAGGACATGGAGGTAGATGGTGTGAAGACAAGATCACGTAGGAGGACGACTCACTGTGGCGACACTTGCTAAAAGAAGAAGAAAAGCAACCAGTAAGCTTATGACTTTGAAAGCAGTGATAAAAAAAAACACTTTAAAAGATTTCTTTGCTCATTTTTTTGATATTAAAAAATGGAAATAATTATGGGAATCCTAACTGATCTAAAACAGCAAGAGTTTAGTTTGATCTAATGAGGGGACTTATATTAAGTATGGTTTTGTTTTTTCTTTGTATTACTATTTTTTGGTATCTTACGGCCAATTCTATTATTGTTTTTATATTTTTAACAAATTCCAGTTTTATTGTAATTTCATGTGCATGTGTGTGTGTGCATTGTTTTATCCTTAGCTAAATGTGATGTGATTGCTGTGAAGCACTTTGGTCAATTGAGGTTGTTGTAAATGTGCTTTATAAATAAATTTGACTTGAGGGGAAAAAGGCTCTATGTATTTTTACACAACATATGCAAACATCAGGTTTCAACTGTGGATCTGTGGTTCTTACCAATCAAAAAGTAAACAATGACGCTGAAGATGACAGAAGTGACGGTGCGCATGGTGAGGTCAGCCAGGATCTTCGACAGGAAGTAGACAGAAACCCTGTAGTAGCCGCTGATGTATTCATGTCTGTGACACGAGGGCACACTTATTGCAACGCAGCTTAAACTGCTTGTTTCTGCTTTATATTGTAGTTAACACACATTATATATATATTCAGAGTACAACATACACAAACAGTTTCCTCTCAGTGATGAAGACCTCGGCTGCAGACACGGTGCTGAAACACTGGTTAGTTGTAATGAAGAAAAGAGCACCCATCCTGCAATGAGGAACAAAGCAAAATGTGGTAAGTTATATTTACTGGACAAAACAGGATGTTTATTGTCTCACTCTTGATACTCATGCAGCTGTGTACAAAATAGTAGGGAGAGTAAAGCCCACCTGGGCACTGTGTTATAGGAGGTTTCTAACCTGTTCTGAATGCCACTCTGATCATCTTTGACCCCAAAGAAAATGGCTCCTACAATAAGAGCAAGGAAAATGTTGACTCCCAGCTGCATGGAGAAAACAAAAAAACAAAGAATAAAACAACAACCGGGTCAATGACAACATGTGATGGTCCTGATACAAAAATTAATTGGAAAAACTTGGGACTAAAGTTTTTTTTTTTTCATAAATAGAAATTTTAATTGAGAGCTCAGGGGACTTAGAGGACCCAGAACAAGTAATCACCCCCTTGAACTTTTGCACATTTTGTCACGTTTCAACCATAAACTCCGTAAAGTATTTACTGGGATTGTACGCAACAGACCTGTATTCTCAAACCGTGGGGCAGTCTCCTCTGGAAACTTTCAGGGAGGGCATGTTGCTTATTTTTATTTAATCAAGCAATTTTAAAGGGGCAATATTATGTGTTTCTCAGGCATAATTTAAATATTATACTATAATAAATTATATATGTCACCTTTAGCTGTTATTAAAATGCTGTTTTTATGTTTAAATAGAAAATAAACTTATCTTCTCATCACTTCTTTTCTAAACGCCTTGAAATTGGCCTCTGTCTCTTTAAGAACCACCTTCAGCTTCTGTCTCACCCATTTCGGTGCAGCGAGGTGGGGGGGGGGGGGGGGGGGGGGGGGGGGGGG